TTTGTAATGTATATTATTAGTATCTCAATTTTTTACTTGTTTGATGTGAAATTTGTGTTCCGTAGTTTATTATCCTTTTCTCTTTTCCGGCATTAATAGCAGCTGGTGTTGCACTCATCTGAATATTTGGTTTGCTTTTATACCCGTTTCGTGGATTAGGTGATTCTGATAAACTATCGGCATTACAGGGTAGTTTGTTCGTGTATTAGACTAGTCAGCGATCAAAGATTAGAATATAATGAATGAGATTTAAAAAGTGAAGACGTAACGTATGAACATATTTCAGTAAAACATATAGACCATGCCCACTTAAAAGCTAAATCACATAAAATTACATCATAACAGCGATTAAATGTGTAAGGTCGAATTTTACGACTACGTATTATCGTTTCCTCCCGACCTGCCGAAGATGCGCTGATAATACTCGCGATGAGATCAGATTGCTTTCAATTGGTCATTGTGATTCAACTTGTTATTAATAATAAAGCACTGTTCGATACTACACTTGTTACAACATGCATCCATATTGAGAAAATTACCATTTTTCTTTATAATAATATAATAATAATTTATTCATATAGTTTTTACAAAAACTTTAGTATGAAATTGCCAATAATACGTACCTAAAACTTATTTACACTATTTCCAGTCTGTACTCATAGAGCAACGCAGTAGATATTAGAAACTTAGCTGTACGATTTAATAATGATCGCACAGTTTCACAGATTAAAAATGTAATATTCTATATAAATAAAAATTAATGTTCATATGTTTGTCCTATTTGAGTTTCTAAACCATTGATCCGATTGTGATGAAACTCTTTTGGTTATTCTGTATACATCTTTGAGGAGTCCTGGCGAAAAAAAAAAAGCTGGATGTTCGTCTTTTGTTCCTAAGCTATTCAAGCTTATGGACGCATCCAAGCGAAACGACAGTATGTCGCTTGTAACTAATATTTATTGTTAAAATTTAAAAAGCAATATTGAGTGTTGCATACATAATTATTTCTTACAGTAGATAGAAGGTGAATGCGAGTTTATTAATACATTGCGAGTCTATTTTTAAATGAGCGCAACCTTCAAGCGATTGAACTAAAACATTTAGAACGGTGAACTTCAGTAAGAATTTCATTTATTTTCACAAACAAACTATGCTTATAAATATTTGCGTATTTATATCAATTACTGTCTCTTGTTTGTTCCGTATTGCGGGAAAACCTCAGCTGTTATATTTAACTTTAGCTTTTATAGCAATCTATTCTTGAAATTGGCGCTGTGCAGTGCGAGTTGGCTGGTTGGAATAGTTTGTTATGTTCCAAGTAGCTAGTTCGATACCCGCACGGAGCTAATTAGTGCTGAACAGGAACTAAAAAGTGCGTTTAGATGTACCTAATTGTATAGTGTAAATGTAATTGTAAAGTTTTTAACTTTTTCTTTGTTTTTTATTTTTAATTTCTAGAATAATCTTTTGATTTTCATGATACTAGGGAATATATATATAATCTTCGAAATACATATAATAAATAAAAAAGTATGTTTTATTTTATAATCTCGAGAGGCTGAAAATCACTCCCAACTTTAAGTTGACGTTTACATTAAAAAAAAAATCGTTTAATTTTCAGATAGGGCTCATTCTTTTCGTCTTGAACTCTAAATTTTGAAAAAATAAAAACATTGTATGGTCATCCTGTAAAAACACCCTTAAAAATTTAAAAATTGAAAAAATCGATAATTTTTAGGTACTTTTTAAACTACATTTTTTTCAATTCTCATTAAAGAAGCGTACTTTATTGACCAAATATTTATAAAATGATTACACCAATGTATTTTTTGGGAAAAAACGAAAAAGATGGTATTTTATTCTATTTTTATTTTATTTATTTAGATACAGAAACAGAAAACAAATGAAAAAAAATTACATCTACGTATTAAAAACTAAAAATATCATTTTAAATTTTTTGTCCAATTATATCTGTACACAACATTCAAATAAAAACATACAATAATTATATAAACAAACTTAACCAGAAGGTAAATATTACAGTACGAGTCTGTGCATTTAAAGTTACGTATTACGTATACTTAAGTTTTTAATTTGACGCTTATTATTTATAACATTTAACATTCCAACTTTGCAATTTGACGAGTCGAAGACGAGCATTTTACGAATTTCTATTCCATATACTGCTAACATTTTAAAATCATAAAATTTCAGGATTTGCAATATATTTTTTTCTCTTAAAAATAAACGGATTCCGATTGGTCTAGTCGGGAACAAATAATCCGCTTGAGCAAATTGTATTGTTCTGAACTGAACTCTAACGTTGAACCAACAATAGGTAAATGTAACCATATTATATTGTACATTGTACAGTTGTACACAAACTGTACACAGTACGTATATGTTTACGACAAATACTTTGTCTAACGCTACACTTGCTACTAATAACTCTGATCGCCGAATAGTATATGAAATATAACAAATTATATATACAACTACTAGCTTTCTGAATTTATGAAGAATAAATTAGTTTTATGTCGATTCGCATTAAAGTGCGCGTTACGATTTGTGTACATAGCTGTTAGCACTTAGCACTAAACATATGGACTTGGATTAGACATCACGTAAACTCTCACTCAATCTTTTTAAATAAAACCTTTCTATATACATATATATATATATATATATATATATATATATATATATATATATATATATAATAAAATTGTAACCAAGACGAATCTGTGCATTAAATATTTTTTGGAAAATCTAATTGAAACAGACATTATTATCGATACAGAGTCCGAATCTATAGTTTTTAGAATTTTTGTCCGTCTGTCTTTCTGTCTGTCTGTCTGTTACCGCATCACGAGAAAACCACTGGACAGATTTTGATGAAATTTGGTATGAAGATAGCTGGTTATTCGGGTCAACATATAGGATACTTTTTACTGCGGGAAAATATCTCATTTCTGAGAAAAAGTACAAAAACAGCATTGTAAGAGTATACTAATATGTAAAACCTAAGAATTTGGTTTTTGGTCATCTGAACGCGGGCGGAGCCGCGGGCAATGCTAGTATCCTATAACTCAATTTATGAACTTAACGATTTTTTTTTCGTAACGAAACGTTTCTAAAAACGAAAAATATGCGTAACAGTCGGATTTTTTTTATGTACGAACAGCTCATAACAAAATAATAAGTATAATGTTTTTTCAATAAGAAAAATATAATTAAAATAAAAAATTAAGTCTTATTAAAGATTGAAATTTTGTTGTAGAATTTACTCGTATTAAAAATTATATAAGAAATAACCAAGTAAAAAAATAAGTTCGTAGTATAAATAATAAAATAATTTTATGCTATTTTATTTATTTGATTATTTTAATTTTTTTGACAAATAAAAAAAAACACCGATCTTTATGAAACTTTCATAATATCTATTTATTAAACAACAATTATTATTCGAAACTTTAGTTTCAACGTTATTTTAGATCTATACTAATATTATAAATGTGAAAGTTTGTGAGTATGGATGTATGTTACTCTTTCACGCCAGAACGACTGAACGGAACTGGATGAAATTTGGCACAGAGATAGATTATAGTCTGGAATAACACATAGGCTTAATACTTTTTATCCCGGAAAATGTACGGTTCCCGTGGGATAGGTTTGTTTTTGGTTGTCCTGGATGCAAATCCGAGCGAAGCGACGGTGAGCCGCTAGCTAGTATGTAATATTTAGTTAGATATGTGTGAAATCAATCTTGGTTTTATGAATAGTATTTAGGGTATCGCTCGTTATCGACTAACGTATTGACGTAAGTACGATGTTCTCGGCCAATCATAATCATGGGTTTTCGTGTATATGGTAATGATTCGTTTATGCTTTAATTTATAATGTCGTAATGGCGATCATAAAAGATATAAATATTTCGATCTTTATTATTTAAATATCGACTATAATTCTATGGGGATTGAATTTTTATGAATTGGAGTTTATGTTATGGACCAAATAAAAATCTTATAAATAATGTTAAAACATATAACCGTGAAACTGATTAAATATACGCATTTTGAAAATGATTAGGGCATATGAGAGGTCTCTATACCTGTGTTCATCATGTCTACCAAGTACGACAATTGACATGAATTTATATACACGTTTTTCATAAAATGGCCGCTTTCAATTTTTTATTATTCAATACGCATTATAAGCACTCGTTTAAAACACTTGTCGACGTGACAGTTATAATAAGTCGCCGCTTTAAGTATTTTAAATTTGAAATACATAGACATGCGAATATGATACTTTAAAATTTCCATAGTGATTTAAGTCTAAATCGTATACATTTATTATAGGCAGAGACGCATGCTGCGTGACAAGTGATTAAGATCCATCTAAAATCTAAATATTTACATAGATATAAAGTATTCACTGCCGTGTGTAGATTTATAGCTATCGGCTATGATCGCTTCTTTGAGGATGCCTAGGCAGTGATCTTAGTGAATAATACGTGAAGCCAGTTCAAGGCTGCGGTGGCAATGGCATACAGACGGCTGAATTAGAGACGAGACGACAAAGGATAAGCCTATTAGTTCTGGATTAGCGCCAAAAGTTCAATTAAATTTATAAAGCTTTACGAGTACTTTACCTACTTCTAAATTGTTACGTTGTAATCGCACTCGCTTGTTTTTCTCAAACATTGCAAAACTTTAAAAATAATTTGTTATTCTATTTTGTAATACATACCTGTAGAGTATTTTTTGATATTTTTAGAACTTGGCGCTTTTGGCATAACAAACTTGATGGTACAATCTGCCTATATAAACTACAAGGCAATATTATTTGTCGAATCGAATTATCTTTTAAATTACATCTTTACGGGCTCATTATTTTATTCATATTAGAACCTAATAAATTTTAATTCATGTTATACACAATATTTACTAAAACTTATTATTGTTATTTGTAAATTAATTTAATAATACTACTAACGCATGTTTATTGCACGTCGATTCAACACTTCCTGTTTGTCGACAGGCATGAAAATGACTATGTCCACAACAGCTACCATGAGCGCCAGAGTTCACAGGAAGGTGATGCGGGCGCCGCATAAGAGGGCGCATCCGGGGAAAATGCTGCACGGGGGGAAGCTAGTGCACCCGGGTAAAAACGTGCTCGGACCGGGTAAAAGTGTTCACGGAGTCGGCAAGTTTGCACATCTCGGAAAATTTGGGAAACTCGGCCACTACGCGCATACACACGCACTGCGCCCGCCGGAACCATGCGAGAACAGCAACGACAGCGGCCTCGGACCAGATCCGGTTAACAGGTGAGAGTCTTTCACTCTTTGCTACTATCATGTCTCATCAAAAACGTGTTTTGCGACACGTTAGTTGAGCTTTGATCTGGGTTGAAGGGAAAGAAACCGACGCGTTCTGAAGGTAATTGAATTTATACGTTGATTTCTTTCTTTTTAATGTGATTTAAAACTCTCTCCTGTATATTATATACAAATAATTATATTTATGTATTTGTAATTATAATTTCATACTTATATAAACTTCACTTTTTTTAATATTTGATTGCAATTTGTGTATTTTTAGACCATTTCTAACAATAATATAATATATAATAATAGTTTATTATATGGGTGATCAAAAATGACACTAAACAAATTTAAAGTTACTAAAATCACCTTCTAAATGCAGATATTATCTATTTGTCCTTTTGTCTGTCACAACGAGAATACTCCGGAGTGTGTATCAACTATACAAAGGAAAACAATATATGTAATTATTGCTTCAAACATTTTGTCGAGCTTTGAGGAATTTCCACAAATATTTTATTGTTAAATTGATATAGTTACGAGTACGGAAGCCACAATACATACTCGTATATCACCGTTTACTCGTTTGTGTCTAACGCTTCTCTTTAGCGTCCTAACTACTTGAATAAACATGTTAGATCATATGTAGAAATGCTAACACTCGCTTTGTTTAGCATCTACTTCATTTCAGCCACGTTCCATAAAGAACTAACATTTAACAATTGAATAAACATACATACATACATAAAATTAAACAAGGCCTCCTGTGTACATTGGTGTCATTTTTAATATCTCTGAAAAATGAAAATAAAAAATACCAATTTCCAAGAAAATCTATATGAGGGTATTCATTCTAAGGAAATAAAAATATAGATGGAATTTGATACAAAAAATGGCTTTCCATACCAATTTAAAGATAAAATACTATGTAGTAATACTACTTACTTCATGGCTAACAAAAAGCTCAATAGCAATACAAAGAATATGAAGTAAACTGCTGACAATTTGTATAAATGTGAGGCTTGTAAATGTGGATCAAGTTTTTTTAACTAAATAAATACAACCAACTGTGTGTTCATCATCAAAAATGTTCTCCAAGTATTATCAAATTGTGAATAAATCGAAATAAAAGTTATAGATTTTTAGTGCCATGAAAATACTAATAACGAAAAGATAGATAACACAAAGTAACTATGTAATAATTAATTTAATAATAAACTTGACTTCACACTATCCTCATTGAATCAAATATAAGGAAATAATATATATATATATTGATTTGTGTTAAAACTATAATATATAAGGAGATAAATCTATTGGATATTGTCTTAGTTGAAGATGATGCAGTCAAAAAACCGAAAGGCAAATTTTATTCTGCCAAATATTTAAGAAAATGTTACCTTTATACCAATCCCATTACATATTTGATATATTATAGTGTTTGACCTTTAGATCAACAGTATATGTATGTGTCAAATTAAACACATTAATTACTTTCCGAGCTTTAATCTTAGCCACAATTTAACACACTTCAAATGATCGAGGACGAGTTTCGCATAAACTACGCCACATGGCGCGGGCGCGAGTACCGCACGTGCTAATTTGTATTTTTGGCACGCAGCGTCAGTGAATCATTCACAGATGCTATCTCGACCCAGCCTCTTAAAGGCATCTAGCGAAGGATCTACCTTGATGTGTCGCTACTATTATCACCTTTTTTACATCATACATTACATGTAAAATTGTAAATTCTCATCTTACTACTTCTTGTTAGTATTTTCTCAACTATTTTTGTGGAGAGATTTTAATAACGATTATTTTAATAAATTCATAAAATATTCAACTCGTTCGGTCTAAAATTTTAGAAGAACTAATTTAAATTATAATTTGCTAAATATGTAGGTATGGCTATTTCTTTATTATTGAAAATTTTCTACGGTCCTTAAATAAAATTGATTTGACACACTTCTAGCATTGTTCAAAGAATGTGCAAATATAACATGTCCGCGTTATCAAAAAATTTGATGGACTTCTTATAAATTTATACAAAACATCTGAGTTTTAGAAAGTAGCACATCCGATGGATACTTGATACTAATTTTAAATTGTTTTGCACATTTTATTTATCAAAACAGCCAACAAAGATGAATGAAATAATATTACGCACAAGACTCTTTGCCAAAAATAAAGTTGGTGTTAAAAGATGACTATAAATGAGTGCGAACCAGTTATAGAAAATTATCACTATGCTCCATTTGCGTCATTTAATCGATGCCAGTTAATTGAATGATTAAAATATTTAGTTAAGCAAAACTATTAGGAAAAGCCCAATCCTAGATATGACGTCAAAGATGGTTAAATATATGTACATACTATAATATATTAAAAGATATGATCCTTTAAAAGGCTCGCGAAAAAATAAAATTCTCAGTAAACATTAACACTTCACATTACAACAAATATATATATATATATATATATATATATATATATATATATATATATATATATATATATATATAAATAAATTTTATTGAATTTAAAAATCTAAAGAAATACTTTGTCAATAACATATCGTACACATTAATTGATTGATATGCAACGTCTAAATAATGTCAAGCAGATTATCCGAGGTGTCAGAGGAGTGGGATCAGCCGGAATCGAAAAGGCGGCGCGAGTGCGCCTCAGGGGTTAAGGTAGAATGCGACGACGCCAACGATGCGTACGCGTTCGCGCTGCCCGCCGCGCCCGCGCCGCCCGACGCTGCGCCCGCGCTGCCCATACCCGCGTACGTTGCTTTGGATAATCATTCACCTATCTATCTAAACATTTTCTTATATTTACGCGAATATATCAAATTTTAAATAAAACTATCTGAACTATACATCAAACTAAAACCCCGAAAAAATCCAAAAAGATAGTTTCATTTAAAACGCTTTTTAAGAACTATTTGACAAAATTCAATAATCTGTCGATTATTGCAACGTCTATATTATGAGAATTATATGTACCTATATGTCGGGAGTAAAATGGGCGCAGCGTTGGTGAAGCGTGTGGACAGATTTTATTATAATATTATATTATAATGTTATACGTATGTCATATATTTTGATACTGACGCTGCACGCATTTTAGCCATCCAGTTTTTTTTACATATATATTATCTATATATCATTTATAACAGTCGTTGAATAATAACTGGTTATTTTTTTTACATATAAATATAATAATTTGATTATTTTATCATTTCCCATGATTTGACATATCTATTTTGTCATTCATAACTGTGCACCTGCTTGTTATCCACGTTCTTAGGTTTACCCCATATTGCTATCGGTATAGGGATACATATATGGATAACTTCTCCATTCTTCGTGATCCTTATTATTAATGCGTGTTGGGTGGAGGTTCTCAATGCTGTACTTTATTTTCACGCTTTTGTATTCAGATAAAGTCCTAGTACTAACAGGAATCGAACTCGCTTTAACGAACTATACACAAAATTTATGTAATAACTAAAAAAACAAATCCCTACTTGTAGATGAAGACGTCTCTGAGAGATGCTAATTCTCAACAAAGATCCTACACATAGTACTTTAGGAATATTATGTTGTCCATAAATTGTGTAATCTGTATACTTTATACTGACAGGTTCCGAATGTAAATTCAGCTTTAAAATGTTAAAAGAAACATGCGAATATTAAAATGTATCGCACGTTCAAGGTAATTCGCCACGTGAAAAACAAATCGATATACAAGTAGCTTATCACGCGTCATGTTGTCTCCCCGTCCAGTCTCTTTTTACATATTATTTAACATATTTATTTTCATTTATTACGTACAATTGATCAGAATTCAAAAAAAATGTCCTGTATGTGTTTAGAGCTAGATAGTTTAACTAGCTTTTATGCCCGCGTATTTTATTATTTCTCCGTTCCGCTAGAGTAGCCTTTACTTCTATCAATAAGCTATAAAATGTAAAAAAGATTTTTCAAAGCGACAGAGATATACCTCTTGAAGTATATATCTCTTGAACTCCCAGGCCGCTGAAATCGAGCGAGCCGCGTTGATACAAACAAAAATAAACTTTAGCTTCATATTTTTGTATAGAATGATTAATTAATAATAACAAACATCTATTTTCCTTCATTCGCGTAAACGTACGACTGTTTGTTTAGTTCAATGTTTGGATATCATTAAATTCCAAGAACATTATCGCGCGTTCAGGATTACTTTCGACAAATATACTACTATTTATTTGGAGCAACTGATATAACGTAGCTATACTCAACCTACGGCCCGCCGGGCCTTTGTTATTGGCCCAACTGAAGTTGCATCTCAGAGTTGGCTTCCGTTGTAAATTGTAATTACTCAGAGTTGTTTGATCGATTTTGAAATCGATACCAATCTACAAGTTCTGTTTAAAGAAAAAAGGGAAAACAGACCATGACTGAAACGTGTTTGTGGCCCCTATGAAAAAAAGGTTGAGTATGGCTGATATAATGTGATAAGATTTCATAACAAACGACGATCAGATTTAACAACATGAATGGTAAAATAATATGTATACTGCCCGCTGCTCAGCTAACTTAGTTTATTTATGTATGTATGTATGTATTTATTCCTTAACTCCCAACAGCCGTTGCTGATGTTTTTTGATAGCCTACCTCAATAAATAGGCTAATATACAAAGTTTTTTTTCCATCGCACTGATAGTTGAAGAGTTTAACCAGTTTTAAGTAAACAAAAACACACTTTACAGCTTCTTTTTTTATTGATCTTAAAATACCTTTTTACTCCTAGCAAAAGTCATATTATTAGGTAATAATCAGCAAATATCAATTTGGCGTATAACATTCATCATTCATTCAATGAAACTCTTTATCGGGATCATTTAATACATCGTGCTCTTTCGTAATATCGTAATCATCATTGTATTTATTAATATAAAAATACTTTATCAATACAAACCCGTATAACCTTCACCCCGTTCTGTAATTAGTTCAAAATACATATATGAGATTAAACTGTAGATATCTGTTGTATTTCAGCGCGAAACATTTATTGCTACGAAAACTGTTACGTGTACAATTAAATGTTAAACCAATATAGATACATAATATGGACAAATTTAATCTAATTACAGAATAAGAGCCGGATGCAGCATTTCTAGTCCAAACATGTCCGAAACCGGCAAACGATTCCAGGACCCCGCATACAGATCTTGCGGCAAACTAGGGAGTGGTGGGAAGTTGGCAAGCAAATACGCCAGTGGGGGTAAATTAGGGGGTAAATTGGGTGGTAAACTGGGGGGGAAGTACGGTGGGAAGTTGGCCCAAGCGCTGGCCAGACGGAGAGCGATGACTGCCACGCATTCAGGACCACCTGGACTATCCGCTCCCTTATCCAACAAGTCTCGGGATGGGACAGTGGAGTTACAGATATTATGTCAGCCGGAAACACAACACAGAGCAAGGTAACTCCATATTGAGATATTTATTAACTAAAATTTGTAGTGAGATGTAAGTATATGTAACATTAACTACTAAACTTGATATATTATTCGGTTGAATACGGCAGAATTGAAAAGAATTTTTTTTTGCTTTCGTTCATCAAAAATCATATATTTAAAATGGTAAACAACAGTTGTTATAAATGTCGTCGTAATATTACAGGTATCAGACGGAGGGTAGTCGAGGAGCAGTGAAAGACAATTCGGGGAATGGCTTCCCCGTTGTAAAATTAGCTGGTTATGATAAGCCAGCTGTGCTACAGGTAATTATTTTATACTAGCGACTCACCCTCGCTTGGCTCGGATTCGTCTCTAGTTTGCTTCCCAATACAAGCTTTCATCCCCATTTTCACCCTCTTAAGGGGTAATTTCTAGGATAAAGTGTATCCTATGTACTATGTAAAATAGAAGAAACTATCTTCTTACTAAATTTCATCTAAATCGGTTCGTTAAATCCAGAGATTACCCTCTACAACGTCACAAACTCACAAACTTACAAACTTTACCTCTTTATAATATCAGTATAAATATAGTTTTTGCCCGTTGCTCCGCTCGCTTTGTATGTCAATAAACTACGTCAAGATTTATAAGCTATCTCTAGGTATTTTAAGTTTTTTAAGTGTCACTAAAATCTCTTTTGATCCATTATTTACAGGATTAGGAAATACACACATTCACATAAAAAATCGCCTTTAAAATAACTACTAAAACTAACTTATTATATTCATCCCCTTTTTTAGAATATGCGGTAATAAAATAATATAAATAAATGTGTATTAAAATAATTGAATCTATAAGCTACATTAAAGTTAGTCATACATTATATTATATCTTATGACAAAATAAAAAGATAATTAGGTTTGTTTTAGTGTGTAGACTTTCATTATCTCAAAGATAAAAAAATTAAATACATCATTGACGAAAGCGTTAAGGTCATGAGTTCAATTCTATCAAAGTATTATTTAAAAACGTTTATCATTGATAAAATAATAAATAAATATGTTGGGTTATTAACACACACCACCATCTAGTTCCATGGTAAGCTACGAAGCTTGTGTTATGGATACCAGATAGTTGATACACTACATATATATAACTTTAAATACATACATATTATAAATATAAACACCCATGACTGGAGTACAAACATTCGTGCTCATCACACAAATGAATGCCCCGAGCGGGATTCGAACCCGCAACCGCTGGCACAGCAAGTAGGGTTACTACACACTGAGCCAAACGTGTCGTCAAAAGTCTTAAAACTAATAGAAATTAAATTTATTAAGAGTTACGTACGAGATTATGTAAGCAAATATGACCCGTTATACGCTTTTTGAAACTATATAAAACGTACCGTCTTTAATACAAACATCATACAAATGTATGGTATACCGTATACATAATGTATGACTTGGTTTATGTAATTTGTCCAGCACTCGGTTCGGTTTAGGTTTCAGTTTCGGCCGAAATGGAAACTTCCTTTTAAAATAATTTTTTTTGTATATTTTAAAAAGAAGAAACTGAATCCCGCTGTATTTTTGTATGTATTTGATTGGATATTTTCATATTATTGGTCGATTTTCGTATATATATATTTTTATAAGGAATAGGTTTTTACATTTAAAGGTCCTTTATACAATTCAAAAAATAATAGCGCCATATATTTTGTACTAGCGACTCACCCTCGCTTCGCTGGGGTTCGTCCCTAGCTTGTTTCCCAATACAAACTTTCATCCCCATTTTCATCCCCTTACAGGATGATTTCCGGGATAAAAAGTATCCTATGTCCTTCCCAGGATATCAAACTATCTTCTTACCAAATTTCATCTAAATCGGTTCAGTAGATCCAGAGATTACCCCATACAACGTCACAAACTCACAATCTCACAAACTTTACCTCTTTATAATATTAGTATAGATTTGTTAATTTAGTTTTTTTTGTCTCTTTATTTTAGGTCTTCATAGGCACAGATACAGGTCGCGTTGCGCCACATATGTTCTACCAGGCGTGCCGCGTCTCCGGTAAAAACTCCACACCCTGCAAAGAGAGGAAGGAAGACGGCACCGTTGTTATAGAAATAGACTTAGAGCCTACAAAGAAATGGGAAGTCACTTGTGACTGCGTTGGAATACTCAAGGTTAGTTTTGAATTTTTTAAATTATTTATTCAAACTCGTATCGTTTAATGTTATTCTATCCCCATAAATTGTGTCAATGGAAAAATTTTGACTTATGGCCTCAATGTTTTGTGGAAAACGAAAAAAGCATTGTTTGCTTTTTTTATTTGTTATACGTCATTGTTCTTGTATTAATGAAAAGAGCTTTCTAGTTAAGTTTAAAATTAAATTAAAAGCCAATACAAAACACGTACTAGGTTACTACTTTAGTTTTTGGCAAGATATTAAACATTTTCGTAATACCCATAACAAAATATATTATTATAAGTACTTGTCGTATTTATAAAAAATTGAGTGATATCTATATTACTTTCTTAGATTTACGCGAACATTTGACATTTCAAATAAAACTATATTTTCGGATTTGTACGCGGATTTATTTCTTTCCCAAGGGAACTAAAAATTAAAAAGGGTTGGTTAGGAAGCCAAAAATCAAAATACATCCGCGAAATAATCGGAAAGGAAAGTTTGATTTAAATTAAGTGTGTACTAACATACAGGATACGAAATATTAAAGTGAAAACTAAGAAGAACCACTACCAAGTTACCTTTGTCATTGCAAAAGCCTTGAATCTACACTGAACTGGTTTATAATACCCGACGTAACGGCAGATAAAAACTCGGCAAGTTGGAAAGACAACGACTGATAAAGAATAATAATCTTGCGAAGAAGGTCGTGTGGAATTTGAAAATCTATACAAAATAATTAAATATTTTATTATTAGCACGAAATAATGATAATGAACTAACACTCTAAACCGATATGACGTTTAAAATAAGTATTTTTAGTAAATTATAATATGGGTTAGCACTTGGCATAATATTTTTATTAATTTTGTATTAGATGTAGCGATATATCAATCTCAACTAAGCTAAACCTTGTTCTTGCTTTTAGAATGTTGTAAATCTGTTATATCCGCTGGTCTGAGATATAGCTACATCTACTACATGAAATTACCATAAAAATGCAACGGTACCTCTTTGACCATATTACCGTTAAAATATTCGGTCTCAATTAAAGTTATTTTGTCACGATTTAGTTTTTTTATTTGTCTTGGCCATTATTGAATCAAAAGTTTTGGAGTTATGAGAAAAAAATGCGGAATTTCATCTACAAAATATGTTTTACCATCTATCGATATTGTTAGAGATGCTATTTTTATCTCAGTATGACCTGAAAAAAGAATAAATTACATAACCCATATCAAACAATGCCCTAATTGCATATGAATTGAGCGGCACGTGTTATCTGCGTTATTTTAGCGCGCCCTCTGCCCCGGCTATCGGCGCGCGGTCAATGTGCCATACTATCTGTCTCGAAATGATCGGAAATGTACGCTTTGTTTCAAGGGATCTTTCCTCTTTCGAATCTTTTAAATTTTATACTTTATCGAAACTCTCAAAGAACATGTTTTTCTGGAACTTATTTGAAGTAATATGGGTGACCAACTTTACACTAACCTCGATGGTTTAGTTATCACTTAATGTTAGGTATCAATTATTATAATTGATTGTAATTTTAAATATGAAATCGTAGACCAATAAAATGACCTGCTTCTGCTGCTTTCTAGTTCTCAGAAAAATCCAAGGATAATAATTGCAAATAAGGGTAATTTGTTTACAATGATAGTGTCCTCTAACTCCGGGAAAGTTGAAATGGGTTCGTTGCCCGAAAAACAAACTGACAAATAGGTTTTTGTTTATAATATTATTGAGGAAATATGTTGATTAATACTTTTTAAAATATTTGACACTTTAAATAAAACTGTTTTACGAGATTTTTTTTTGCAGTTTCATAGTCAATTCATTCTGTATAGGATCCGAAATGTCCGAATCAAATCAAATTAAAATAAAACCGCCAATAAATCGTTAATAAATTATTTTATTTAAGATATTGATATTATTATAATACTTTCTTATATTTACGCGAATAATTGACATTTTAAAATAAAATTATCTTTTTGGATTTGTTCCCGACGTTTCGAATGGTTTACAGCGATCATGGTGATGGGAGATTCTTTGATTATTTGCGGTGTTTATATTAGCAAGTTGTTCGTGTATAGGAACGTAACGTGGACGTAGAGCACCGTTTCGGCGAGGCGCTGGGCGGCGCGTCGGGCGCGCACGCCGCCCGCGGCAAGAAGAAGTCCACGCGCTGCCGGATGGTGTTCCGCACCGAGATACTCAACGCGGCCGGCCAGCCCGAAACTCTGCAAGTCTGCTCCACACAGATCATATGCAGTAAGTTTTCCTGTTGATTTGTGAACAATGTTGTAGCTCGGAATTGTAGATAATTTTATTTATTTCGGATTTTAAGAAACAATTATGTATCTATTTTTGTAATAAATTGTCGATGTTTTTAATTAACGGCCTATGCAAACCATGTTTTTAAGCGCCTGACCCGCCGCGCCGCAATTCTTGCGATACAAACTCGCGACGATAGCGCGTTAAACGTCATCGTGTGCAAAGTCTAAATTGTATAATATTTATGTTTGAGCTATCATGTCAATGTAAAGCTGAATTCTCACGGCGCGTAATATTACGAGTTGAGCCGCGCCCAGTCGATTTGTACGTACAAACACGTGCCACGGGCGAACCCGCGTCACCCGTTCTCACGGACGGGGCGCGGCGCGTGATGAAGCTTGGTTGCTTTACATGTGCCGCATATCTTTCGACAGACCGAGGCACGCAACGCATTTTTTATTTATGAGCTCCGCATTTTTCGAGTTCCGCAATGATGGTTCGTTTTCGTATAAATTCAAAATTCGGCATTCGACCACTTCATATTTACGTACATCACTGTCGAACGAATTGAGAATTCGAGATGAAATGAACGTGTTCAATAGCGCGAGCCTACGCCGCCACGCGCGCGCCCGCGCCTCCACGAGTGCGCTCCCGCCGCGCCTTTGAAGTTACCAACAATTAGTGGATCGAACGCGCCATAACGCACCAGCCCCAGTCGCGTCGAGCCACTGCCTTCACGCGGCGCGACACGTGATATCACGCGCCGTGAGAAGCCAGCTTAAAGATGGATTAATGTTAAATTCTTTGTCTGTCTGTTTTTTGTGCAGGAATGACTGTTTGGATTGATTTTTTTTTATTGTTTATTCAACTAAAGTTAGGTAGGAATCTACTACATATAACGCTCCCAATTTACACTATTTACTCTTTCTCTTCCCCAGCCCAACCCCCAGGAGTACCAGAAGTGTGTCGCAAGTCCCTCGTGTCCTGTCCAGCGAGTGGGGGTCTGGAGCTCTACCTCCTGGGCAAGAACTTCCTGAAGGAGACCCGCGTAGTGTTTCGCGTCTCTCATGATGGATCACCCTGGGAGGAGGAGGTGGCACCCGATAAAGAATTTTTGCAGCAGGTAAGCTTGCTTTATTAATTTTCATTGAATATCAAAGTTATTATAAATTAAGTTTATTTTAAACCAGCGACTTGCGCTTCCTCCTAAATTTTACTCTTTTTCACTGGAACTCTAATTCTTTATCTAAAATTAAAGGCTATTGCTTATAACATCAGCTATCTGTCAGTGAAAGTCTTGTCAAAATCAAAAATAGCTAGCGAAAGTCGACTTATTGTCCAACCAGAATATGAGAGTTAACCGGATCTATGCTGTCTTCTATACAGATAAATAAAATTGATGTATATGTTTGTAATGACGAAATACGGTACTTATGAGAAAAACACAATTTTTAAATGTTTGCCCGTATGTTTGTTCCGGGTAATCCCCGAAACGGCTGGGCCGATTTCGACGGGACTTTCACTGGCAGGTAGTCGATATTATAAGGAGTAACTTAGGCTACTTTTATTTCAATAAAAGAACTAGCATTGCCCGCGGCTCCGCCCGCGTTCAGATAACCAACAATCAAATTCTTAGGATTTACATATTAGTATTCTCTTACAATTCATTTTTTGTATTTTTTCTCAGAAATGAGATATTTTCCCGCGGTAAAAAGTATAAAAAGTATAAAACCCTATATGTTGACCCGGATAACAGCTATCATCATACCAAATTTCATCAAAATCTGTCCAGTGGTTTTCTTATGATGCGGTAACAGACAGACAGACAAAAATTCTAAAAACTATATTTTCTTATATAATTTTCCAAAAAATATTTAATGTACAGATTCGACTTAGTTACAATTTTATTATATGTATAGATTAGGGTTCCTCTCAAAAAAATGAAAACGTACCTAACGGACGAAGCGAGTCGCTAGTACAGCACAATAATGTACAATGTACACATGGACAGACGCACCTAGTGTGCTGCGTGCCGCCGTACCGCCGGCTGGACATCGCGGAGCCAGTGTGCGTGCAGCTGTTCGTGCGCGCCGGCGGCAAGGCCTCCGAGCCGCACGCCTTCTACTACACGCCGGCGCCGCGCGCGCCCGCGCCGCCGCCGCACTGCACGCTGCACCCGCACGCCGCCAAGTACGCAGGTACGACACCGGCCCCCGAACTGATATTGTACTACGGCTACACTGTATAGTATGTGAGTGTGTACAGAGACAAGGCTTTGTACAATCGTGTCGAGACAGCATTACTTAGTATTGTATGTACGAGTATTGTAGATTTTCTCAGTATGATGCAAACTTTTGAAATGGCTACCTTAGTTAAGGTTCATTAGAGTTCCGTAGCTAGAAGGCGACAAACGAAATCCTTATTTTCTGTCCGTCCACACGTCACAGGGTGTTGAGTTAATAAGGGCTCACCGACGAGTTCACGCATACGTTGTCCGTTGACAAAACCGGTTATTTCCGGATCGACTGTTGACAATGTCAGGGCGAGCGTGTCAAATGTCAAGGAAACACTCACACCGCGGTTGTATAAAGCTTTGTATCTATAGAGATATTTACTCGTATGCTCGTATTACTGTATATATTCAGTGTTCTATATTAGGCTTTTTCTAATTTATTTTTTATTTATTTAAAATAAATTTGTTTGTTCATTTTTTTTAACTTATTGTTGCCATTATACACTGAATATATCACCCTATTGACCTTTTTTGTTTATTGCAATGTTATAGATAAAAAAAAAATTGAACGTAATAGGATGTTGCATGACTAACATAATAGAAATATCGCTTATGTACCATATTAAATGTTCCAAATTGCTGTATGTAAGTTTGTATTGAATTAAACATACGGATGTCGCTTGATATTATTAAATCATTAAGAATGTTATCTTAATTGCTGAACCAATTTTGATAATGTTATTGCGCTTGTCACTATTAATAAATGGAGCTTATAAATGGAACTCGAAAATATTTCCTATATAAACTTTTCACGCTAAATCATTGTTTTTATGTAACACGACTTTTAGTACGTACTGTAGAAATAACTAACATAACTGGAATATACGGTATTGGGATTAAAAATAGCTTTTAACTCATTGCTCTTCTCTGTTGCTATAATATATTCTATAAATATATAAATATCGAAAAAAAAAACTTTGTTTTATTAGATATTCGATTAATCTAATTTGTTTTTTACTACACAAAATATTAATAATAATATTATATATAATAATGATTTAACTGAAATATGTAAATAATATAAAATAATTAGCATTCTTATTATTTTTAAAATATATATTACAGTAGTAACTCACCCTCGCTTCGCTCGGGTTCGTCCCTACCTTGATTCCCAATACAAACTTTTATCCTCATTTTCCCCCTGTGAAGGGATGATTTCCGGGATAAAAAGTATCCTATGTCCTTCCCAGGGTCTAAAACTATCTTTTTACCAAATTTCATCTAAATCGGCTCAGTAAATTCAAAAATTACCCCCTACAACGTCACAATCTCACAAACTTTACCTCTTTATAATATTAGCATAGACACAGACACAATGAATATTGTAGTATTGTATTTACTCTCTCTATATATGTATATGCAAATATAAACTGCTGCCGTTCAAACGAACTTTAAATATGTAACATTTGTGCTATAATTTGCTTAACATATAATTTATGTGAAATATGTTACGTAGTACAGAACCTTATGTAAGTTAATACGCACCTAAATAAATAATCTTTACTAAAACTGATTTAGCGTGAATGGTTTTATAGATGGATACGCAAAGTTTGCATATCAGTAGAAATGCTTATATAATTATTGAACCAGAATGATATGTATACAGGGTGTCAGGCAGTTTAAATCAATATATATTAATAGTTTTAATCATTGAAACTTAATAATTCATAAATATGCAAACAAAATGCAATACGCTATTATATTTAGTTGCGTTTGACAGATGTCATGTTATACTCAAAAAATGAACTTAAATCAATTAATTATTATTATCGTTTAATTAAAATTTGCTCATCCTGTATATATATCATTAAACTTTAATGTACTTAGTAACTGTTTAATTTGCACTGGTACAGCAATATTTTGCGTATTCTATTATCTTATACGTATTTATTTAATATAAAGCCTGTACTAACAGAAGCTTGTCGCATGCTCCAACGCTTTGTTAGACATAAAATAGACGTTTATCAACTATACATATATAATTGTATACCTTTAGTACAGTAAGTGAAGTTGGGAAGAAATGACTGATGCGTATATGCGTGTTTGTTTCCCGTCTGTTCAAGCTAGGTCTGTCTAGGTAGCGAGCGAGCTGCCGCCCGCCGCCGCGCCGCCCATCTCTATGGTACTGACACAGACACAAACACACATACATACACTCTGTATGCACATTTTATACATACATATATTGCAATACATACACGTGTATTGTATTGAATCACACGTACACGTTACAATGATCACACAGTATGTACATTTTATACATGTAATACATATTGTATTGCATTGAGTATTGACAATACACGTGCTTACACATCACAATGATCAATACATATGAATATACGCTCATGTACATTAATTGTGTACTTGTAGCTTATAAAAAATTGAAATCACATGTCAAATTTGGTGTCCGACCGAACTATGTGTTTTGGCAATTTTGGCGCTAAAATATCGAAATTACATTCGTAAGCTTTCGTGCGACCTTCGAGCATCTTCGGGAACGTTCGGCGAAGTGAATATATTAGTAAGTCAATATAAATAAAAAAAAAATAGAACTATTTTTTTTAGTTTGTTAAATAACAGCTTTTATGAACACAACCACGTAATATTATCAACTATCTGAAGTATACAAAATAATTACCTACCATTATGGCAAGTTTTGTTCTCGAATTCAACCGAAATTGAAACAAAATTCTTAATTCGGTTTCGATTTTATTTTTGGTTGTACAAACATATATCGGTTGGACACTAGTTGGATGGAAAATTTAAAAATTTGTTAAATCGTACAATTTTTTTTTCTTAAAATTGAAATAAACAACATGTAAAAATTAAAACATCCATACAGAATATTATACAAATATACACTACACAGATAATATTACTCAAACAGAATATATTACTTATACTTTAACAATACCAACATTAAAATACTTAACAATTAAACACTATCTGTAGGTAAATAGAGCCATCGTTCAAATTATTTAATTCGTTATTTTTTCCATTTCCACGATTGTTATGCTAAACTTTAGGCACATAACTGACTGACTAACTATTAACAATTGTTTTTTTTACTGATAGACCAAAACCCTTAGAATTTATTGAGATTTTTTTCAGAAAGAAGAATTTTGTTTTTGTTATTAATATAAGCTATAGTTTTGTTTTATCCACTTTTCCATTTAGTACTAGCAAAAAAGGAGTTTCAACATTTAACAAGAGAGAAGCGTACAGGAGTTTTTGATTAAATCACTTGCTTCTAACTGGTGTTAATTTTAAGAGTCCCCTGGCTTTGCAACATTAAAGTATAAAGACGAAGTAAACGGCTAGTCTTCTTTGCACTTTAATCAACCTAAATGTCCAGCTGTTTGAATATGGATACACATAATGTAGACACAAAAATGAACACACTATACAAGTCTGTAAAACATTTTGAACTCTACGACATTCAACATAAGACTCTTTACGCAGTGACACTCTTCCCACGTAGCTGATAGATGCATTTCGTGCCAAATGTTATTATTTGTCTTCATATTTGAATCTTCTCCTAAACCTATTTCAGTTTAAATGTCATCAGTTAATTTTGTTCTATTAAATTTTCAAAATTATATACTTCTTGGTTTACTCTAAAAAATACGACAAACTTTCGTCTAATAAAGTGATTATTCAATGTTTTTTTTAAATGAAATATATTATTAAAAAAACAGTAGAAGATGGTTAATATGAAAATTAAACTGAAATGGGTTTACCCGGCACGCAGCTAGTGCGTGTGTGAGCCCGTGTAACGTGCCCCGTGCGCAGGTGACGAGCGCTGGGCCGGCCTCATGCCGCCGCCGCAGCCGCGCCGCCCCTCCATCATCGCGCCGGACCCCCACTCGCCCATAGGCCTCAAGAGTGAGGTACGTACTTTGTTTACCTTTTGTTTTTGACAATTTGTGTTATACTTGTATAGGTTTTAGTTTTTTATTTATTAGTGCATGACTTACTCTTGCTTCTTTCGAGTGTGCCCTTAGCCTATCTAACAGTAACCTATGTGCAACTCTAGGTTATAGTCTACTAGCGACTCACCCTCGTTTCGCTCGGGTTCGTCCCTGGCTCGATTCCGCATACAAACTTTCATCCTCATTTTCACCCCCTTAAGGGATGATTTCCGGGATAAAAAGTATCCTGTGTCCTTTCCAGGCCCTCAAACTATCTTCTTCCCAATTTCATCTAAATCGGTTCTGTAGATCCAGAAATTAGCCCCTACAACCTGACAAACTGACAATCTCACAAACTCGCAAACTTTACCTCTATATAATATTAGTATAGATATGTATACTAAATTTAATATAAATCCGTCCAACCGTTTCAAAGAAGTAGCAAACATAACACAGATACAAACTTTCGTTTTTAATATTGTCAAATTAGATTCAATATTTTCCTTTTCATTTTTGATGAATTGGAACATTATATTTTTAACTAATATTCACCATAAGATGTGTTTCTTAAAATTAATTACAACCGTGCAGGTGCAAGATGAGTCCAGCCAGCACTCGCTGATAGAAGGCTCGGAGGGCTGCTCCGAGAGCGAAAAGCAGATGTCGGACGACCTCAGTGTCATGGACCTGCGCCTGAAGTCCGAGACTATCTCCGCGGAATCCACGCCGCAGGTGAGATGTCACATTTAGTAATATCACAGACGATACAAAACTATAATTATATTTTTTAATATAAGGCTTTATTTGCTTAAAATCGACTTAATAAATAATGTTAACAAATCTCAGTGATTCCAACCTTCAAACTCATAAAATTTAAACAACACCTCTAAGAACAGGTTCGAAATCGCACCTATTATAAATAGCAGTAATATTATGTATAGACTTTCTAGTTTCTTCCCTTTTTTGTACAGCACCATACTTAACTACGATTATATCGTAATATAAGATTTTCACCATTAAACCTACAACACTTATACATTATTTAAACTAAAAAAAAAAGACTATTTGTATTGTCTAATTACATGTTTCTATTTGTACAGGTCGGCTATGTCGGCACCTACGACTCGATCAAGCTTTCCCCGGCCACGTCTTCTCAGAGCGACTCGCCCTCGTCCATGGTGTCCTTCACGCAGCAGCTCCAAGCCATACAGAACCAGGTCCAAACCGACAAAATGGTCGAATCAGTGACGGCCGCCATCTTTAATTCGGACAACGCCAACCAAATATACGTCGATCCACCGATCCTACCCATGAACACTATGGAAACCATGCAGCAACTCATCTCTTCGAAGTCAGCCATGAACCCCATGGAGACCGACATGAAGGTCCTCAATCCCGAGTTGATGATGACGGATTCAGAGATGCAAACGGCCAACGAACAAAGACTGATTGTGTACAACCAAGTGCAGCAGAGTAGAGAGGAGAGCTACAACCCATTCAGTGCCATGACAAAAATGGAGGCGACGCAGATAGAGCAAAGATTGGCGCAGCAGAGTGCGCACATGGAGGCACTCGTCGAGGACGCCATGAAGGCCACGGCCGCCATGCTGCCGGACGACGCGGCCAAGCTGGACGAGCTGGTCAACTCCAGGGTGGACGACCACCTGTCGGGCTCGTCCTCCTCTCCTTCGACCACTTCCCACGCGTCCGACGTGCTGCTGAGTCCGAACGCGGCCGTCGTGTCCCGCAACTCGGCGGGCTCGGAGCTGCTGGCGCCCATGCCGGCGTCCGCCATCTCGCCCGACGTGATCCTCAACCCGCAGGTGTCGCCCAGCATGCTGTGCGAGCACCCGGCGGGCGGCCAGCGCATCGTGCTGCCGGCGGGCGCCAGCCAGGACGAGCTGATGATGATGCCGGACATCCCCACGTCGGTGAAGACGCCGCCCGCCGCCGTCAAGTCGATGATCCTGAACGCGGCGGCGGAGATCCTCACGTCGGACTCGACCATGAACGCGCTGGTGACGTCGGCCATCAACACGGCGAACATCCTGAGCACGGAGGCGGACGCGGCGCCGCCGGCGGACTCGCCGGCCGCCATGTCGCACGCCGTGTCGCAGGCGGTGACGCAGGCCGTGTCGCAGGCCGTGTCGCAGGCGGTGTCGCAGGCCGTGTCGCAGGAGATGACGGCGCCCGTGCAGGGCCTCACGGACATGAGCGACCAGGACCTGCTCTCCTACATCAACCCCAGCACCTTCGACCAGGGTGAGTACATGGACCTGTGCTTCTGCACCGACCGCTCTTACTTGTCCGCTCTTACTCACTGAAATCACGTATCGATTTGTGTGTGTCGGATAGGAGAGTCGATTTTTTTATATAATTAGATTTATAATTAGTATTATATTTGATAGAGGAATCGATTTTATTAATGGTTATAATATAACTTGTAAGGTGTGACAATAGATAGACTTTTTCAATTGTCTCGGGATACAGTGTTGATTTTTAACAAATAATTATTTATTATTTAAATAGTATTGAACAATAATAACTGATTACTACATAGTAGATATGATATTTTAATTTTATTTTTAAATTTTATAATTAAAGTGATATTTCATCGGGTGCCATTTTTAATTTACGCTTATACTTTTACGTATGTTTGTTCGTTGTTATGGTAACTGCAGATTTGCCAAATCGCTAGACGCAAACTCGCTAAAGCAGCTGACTTACTTAATTTACTTTTCCGTCTACTTTATTAATATTCTAGTCAAATATTATTTTTAGTCTTTAATTTTCTTTATATATGGACTTATATAATATAAAATAACATCTAAACCTGCCCAGTAAAATAATATAGTTTTATAGGCAGACATATCAAATATTTGTTAATATATATTGAATATTATTATGTATCTTAATATATATATTTCTTGTGTGCGTGTGTATGTGACATAATAATTTTCATCAAAAAAATTATTAAAAAATAGTATGATATATATATATATATATAATTTTATCCTATAAACTAACTAATTTGCCTTTTTTTCCAGTGTGAGGAGTAACACTAATGCATTTCTATCGAGTTCGGGCTCAAAAGCAATTTTTATGTGAATTATCAGCGTAGTATAAGCCTTTATAATCTCGATGTGGATGATAGTACGCTTGGTCAATTAGTACGAGAGTCAGTATTACAGGGCAAGAGGGTAAATGTGTCGTGCGGTTTGATGGAACACTACACGCAAGCAAAATTATTGTTTTATTGTATATATTTATTTGAAAAACAAATCAAATTATCTAAAAAAAACAGTTAAATTATACAAATTCTGATTGTTTTATAGATTTTCAATCATTTACTATTTAAGACTGCTGATTGAAGTCTCGATTTAAAGTTTTGGACATATTGGAGTTATCTTATTCGTTTCTCTGGTTTTGCTGTTTCGTCTAACTCTGGACATGTCCTAAAAGTGAATTGTATGTTATCTTTGTAATGAATGCTATATGAACGATCGTGCTAGGTTATAATTTCGAATTTTATTATGTAAATAGATAGTAGCACGTATTTATCTTTTGTTGTTGAGGTATGGCGGCCATCTTGGAAAGCATCTTTTTTTTTTATTTTATTCAAATTTATTCACCCTATGTTCAAATGCACAAAATGACAACATGAAATTATAACATTTTTTTAAACAAAGTTTATTAAAATATGTTAGTACATTGGAAATATTTGATTATGGGTCGCCGCCATCACCGCTTGTATTAAAGCCCGGTGTACACTTGCCTTGTTTCAACATCTTGAATGGATTTTTACAATAAAATTTTATATTATAATCATACTATTTTATAACGTTTTTACAATTTTTACCAACTAAATAAGGGAGTGTACACACGGGTGTTGTATGAATGTTAGACCTAGAGTTCACTAAAGCTTATATAGATACCCTAAATAATGAAATTATATTTATCGTATTATAATTTTACGCTTCAGTGAGTATTAGGTCTACAGTTATGTTATACATTAGCTAATTGTTTATTCGTAAGACGAAGGCGATATTACATGGCGGTGTGATTTGCGAAAAAATATATATATTTAATGGAAATTAATTTTATGTGTATATTCGTAAATATTACAATTTACATATTATTAATTGTCAATGGTCGTTAAGTTTGAAGAAGAAGAAGAAGAACAACAAGAAGAAGAAGAAATTTGAAGACTTTAAAAGGTTTTTGTTACCATAGACAAGATAAAATTTGTTTTTTTTTTTTTAATTTCGTAAACAAACCGCGATGCGATATAGCCTCAGCCTAAGGACAACAGTACTGATGTGATAGAGCAAAGATTATGTAACGTAGTGTAAAGTTCGTTTATAGGTCGAGTCGAATGCTACATATTAATGTGCCATTTACATGTAACCTTAGCGATAGGTAGGGTAGTGTTGATGTCATCTCATTGTTTGGCCGACGGCTGCTACGTAATACACGTGATAAATGCTTTTTATTGCCGGTATTTATTCAATCCAAGTTTAAAATAAAATGTAGGAAGTATTAAAGTCTCACTTAAGTAAATGTGCTAATTGCAAAAATATGAAAATTATAATGTCATTTTTCTATTACAAAAAAAAAACAACTAGAAATCGACCACTGATTTTTTTATTTTCTTTCTTGCAAAAGACTGACGATGACCGACCAAGATTTTGACATATTTTTTTTTACTTCAAGAAATAACATAGTAACAAAATAAAAGCTTCGCTGTATGTAATGAATGAATGGTTTCCAATTTAAAAAGAAATGGATTTGTTGAATATTTATTGTACATAAAACAAACAACTCCTAAATAGTGATTTTTAAAATATAAATATTTTATTGAAATGTATATTAAATATACATAAATCAAATTTGATAGGAAAATATATTTCACATATAATAACTGATATTAAGGCCAATTTTGAATACCTTTTTGATACGTTTGTGCGTTTAGCACTTGTTTATACAACTACGGGGCACGTAGGGACCACGTCGAACAATATGAAATAACTATATAATATAAAATTTATATATATACTTAAAATAAAACCTTTTTGCAATGTGAGACCAAACTATATATTGAATTGAATCTCTGACAGACACATGCTGTCCCCAAACATACATTGTAATTGAAAAATAATAAGTTTAATGTTAAACAGAAATTGTAACTTTTTATATACTGTAGCATTTTTATAATGAAATATATTGATATGTAAGTAACAGTCTTTACAATATAGTGTGGATATGCCCTAAGGGTCTAAATTGTGTCTAAAATATGAGGGCTGCCGCGCTTGAATTGTCGAGGGTCGCTTTTGTTGAGTGAGGTCTCTAAAACTGGTAAACATTGTGCCATTCCTGATTAATTATGGCAGACATATATACAATATTTTATGTGTCTGGTTATTATGTAATAAATAATTTTGTACAACAAAATCTTGATAAACTGATGCCGTGCTAACAATTATTATTATTATATTAAATTTATGGCTTTCTCGCAGTAATAAATACTTTTTAAAGACAGCGATAGGACCTTACTCGAGAGTGGCGCCAACTGGTGCCACCAGAAATGATAACCCTCAATAAGTTACTATTACTATTTTCTTTACATGCCAATTAAAAAAATACCATAGAGCATATCCATTGTGTCTTTATTATAATAATAAAAAATAGTCAATCAATTATATTTTTTCAAAGTAAAATATCTAAATAGTAATTTTTATAATATAAGTAAGAAATAAGAATGTACCCGCGACGCCGGACACGTGTAACGCAACTAACATCACATAATATTTTGTGAATTTTTTATACATCAGTCTTCCATTTTTATTTTATTATTAAGGAAAGATCGAATGCATTTCACAACGAACTATATGGACCTCACCATTTAATTGTGAAAATCGTTGTTTGTAATTATTTTGCTTAAATGATGTAGATGTAGCTACAGTATTGGTGGTGTTTTAGACCCCGGCGTATAAAACCGTCGAGTTTGAATTAAAAAATGGGGTATTTATGTCCCAATGGCTGGTTACGTCTATGTAATATATATAAATGTATGTACAGCGGTTGTAGTGTTTAATATCTGAGCGACAAGGCTTCGAGCATCGCACGCAGAGCTGTAGCATAGATCTCTAGTCGGTCTTATTCAATGCAACTTGCCGAGTGTTACGATGATCATCTATATGTTATTTGTTTTGATGTAATTAATTAAATGTTATTGAAAATGTTTTGATCTTTTTATTTATGCCTTTCTATTTAAGTTATAGAACTAGAGAATTTGTTAGAACACATTATATGATTGATATCAGGAAAGAAATACCATTCTAATTTGGAAATCCAAATTGAACTATGGAGAGGAAATAAGTTGCCTCAATATAGGCTAAAAAATGACAAAAATAAACTCCTGATGACAAATCATGATAGTATAAGTTATCTTCTTCTCCCTGCCCGTTTCCCAATCACTTGGTGTCTGCGCAGTACTTCTTCTGTACTGCTGAAAGGATTTGGCAAAAGCTTTACGACCGGCCGCCTGCCTGACGTCAACCCTCCTTGGGAATAGTATGAGTTATCACAGTATGATAATATAAAAATCTATACAATAGGCGATCAGCTATTGATTTTAATGGAAATGCCGACAAATAATGCAAAGAATGTCAAAAAATACCAATTTTTTATGTTGAATGATTTCGAAGTTCGAGCACTGTAGTGCTATCTCGTGGTAAGTTACAGTAATAGCCGTCAACAATAAAAGTATATCTATACAGATAAATAAAATAGAAGTGTCTGTTTGTAATGTCAAAATATACGATACTTATAAGAACAATATAATTTTTAACATTTTTGTCTGTCTGTTCGTTCCGGCTAATCTCCGAAACGGCTGGACTGATTTTGGCATATAGCTGATGTTATAAAGAGTAACTTGGGCTACTTTCTTTTTTCGTTTTGGTAAAAGAATTAGGGTCCTGCTCAAAAAATTAAAACATATATATATATATATATATATATATATATATATATATATATATATATATATATATATATATATAAAATGAGAATGTATGAGTGAAGGTTGCGCTTCATCCGCGTCGCCCCGCATGATTGCCCTGTCCTAGACACATTAGCTATCTGCTAGTGTGAGAATATTAGTGTTAGAATACCTACTTGTTAATAATCTTATTCCAAAACCTTCATTCATGTAACACCTTTAAAGGTTTGGACAGACAAAAATTCTAAAAACTATAGATTCGGCCTTTGTATGTTCTTTTGATACTGTCCGACACGGACACCTATATAATATTCGAGTCAAAACTGTCATGAAATTTTCAATAACATAAAACAATTATGATATTGAGAGTTCTGGGTTTGAAATAAAAAAAAAAAGACCGAGAAGAGGAAATAGTAAGAACGGGGAGGGTTCTCAACCTACGTTATCCAAATCTGATCAGTCCCACGATTGAAAATTAAAACTTGCAAAAAAATAAACTTTTATCCAGGTGCTCTAAATTAAAAAAAAAACAAAATTAAGTAGCTGGACAAATAATTATATTAGTCGTACAGTAACTGGATTAATAGTAATATTGAATATATTCTGCATAACATATATATCTACATCGACTTTCTCTCCTATCACGTGTGAGTTAAAAAAATAAAATACATTTCATTCCACAATTCATTTAATTGATTCTATTTATACAAACATACACAGTAACAATCTCGTAATATGTATATCATCTTGATGACCGCCGTTACTTACATACATATAAAGCATTCCCAACATCTTACAATTATATTTATTTATATTATAGACAGTAATTAAATAATTACAATAATTTTCGTTATATATCTAGATACGAACATAGACAAAAAGTGCAGAATAGCGTGAACACGATGAGGACGACGGCGACCCACGCCGGCATTGTGTCTGTGGACGAATTGAAAAAAAAAATAAAAAAAAAATAAAAAAACATTCAAAACACATTGTTAGTTAAACACTAAAAAATTATAATAACAAAAATGGGTGCGTGTAACCTTTACGCGCTGTTGAAGTTAAACTTAACATATGTAAAATAATTAAATAAGGCATGTTAGACATATTACAATCATATATTTATAGAATATCATATACGGAAAGAATATAATATTTTATATATGTATTTGTCAGACAATAACAACGGTTACCATGGCAACATAGCGATGTATTCTATCTCACTCTCTCGCCGGCTTAATCCTATATATTTATATGTTTGTCTCTTTCTAGTGACACATTTTCGTTTCATCGAGTTTCAAATTATAACAATTGTAAAGAAGTTTCACTTCAAAAATAAGCTTGTATTTCATAATATTCCTATCAGAAATAAATTATATGCGCTGGAAAATGTGATACTGAAAACAGTGAGAAATTTTGTTTCACACGCCCCCACTACAAATTACACGCATCAAAACTACTTGACGTATTTTCTTAAAAGCTAAATTTATTTCAAAATTGTGGAAGTTCTGTTATCTTAACTATTTTTAAATTATAAGGGGACATAATATTTACAATATCTATAAAAATATATTATGTATTTAAGATTATTTTTTACCCGATTGCGGCGAAGCCCAAAAGAGGGTTGGGGACGCCTGAATGTATGTATGTCGGATCCTTTATTCACTCGTAATTACTAAACAGCTTAACCGATTTTAATGATTCATACATTACGCGGGTGTCATATAAAATGAAAATGGTCACATCCTCGGAAAATAATCCGAATAGACAGTTTTATTTAAAACGATGGTATGTATACGATACCTGGGTAGGGCAGCGTGTGCACGACGAGGCGGTTGTCGACGGACACGGAGAGCAGCGCGGCGTCGGAGCGCGCGCGCAGCCCTCGCGGCGCCCACGCCAGCGCCGTCACGAACATGCCGTGCGCGCTGGACACGTGCAGCGCACGCTGATGGGTTCGAACAAAATCCAATTACTTAATTTTATTCAAAATCAATCACACTTATACGAGCGTTTTTGAATCGTCAATTTAGTTTAAAGAGCGTCAGTCCTTACTCTTTGAGGTTTTATAGTGAAAAAAATCATCATAAATAAACCCTCATGTATGAGAGAACCTAGCGAGTTTTTGAAGGATAAGCTCAGTCCGCCAACGCGCACTTCGCCAGCGTGGTGTACTGGCCTGATCCCCTTTATATGAAAGGGAGGCCCACCCCCAGCAGTGAGACGTTAAAAAGGAATAAATACAATACACATACAGTCCGTGAGAAGGCCACCACCGGCTCGGAAACCAGTTCCGCTGAGGAGAGCCGGCGAGAAACTAAACAGTTTCTCTTTTAAACATCGAGTTACTTTTTATTTACTCTGTTAACATCATATGAGTCAATATATCTTAATTCCATACATTTCTATGAACAAGAAACACACAAACAGAATAATATACTAACTGTATAAATTGATAACTGCCTCGGTGTTCTAGTGGCATGTAAGACCTGTGATCCGTAGGTCCTAGGTTCGACTTTAATGAAATTGGCCGCAGTGGCCGCAATAAGTCAAGAAGGCATTATTATAATAAGAATAACAACTAGTTTGAAGCCCGCAGCTTTGTTTGCGCGGCCGATAAATTGATAAACAATGGCTTATATAAAGTAATTAGTTGAATCATTACAACATAGAGGCAATAAAGAGACTCACAAAGTTTTGCATTTATAATATAACCGTTATAATTAGAAAATCATTTAATAATGTGCATAGGCAATTTTTTCAACTTCAAGTTTCAATGAAAATCTCTTTAAAAATACCTCATTCTTCAAAAAAAAAATTCAAAGACGCCACCGCGACCAAGACTTGAAACCTGGATCTGTAGCCATATATGTTGGCAAATAGGTCACACACTAGGTAAAACTTTTACATAATCTTATTTAATTTAAATAGATTTCATAATTAATGCAAGGTTTCATAATAAATAACTTAAATAAAATTACTTCAAAAAAAGTTAATCATAATAGGAACCACTGATATTCACCTGTAAACTAAAAGCTATATAAATATCCACTGATCCACTGAACATAGTGCCAACACCCACAAATCTGCCATCGTCCCTCACAGCAAGTGCGGAGAGGGACTCCGCTACCACCACAGTCTTCTTCAACGCCCCAGTCCGAGGTTCCCACATCTGCACCAGACCCTTAGCTTTGCCCGATCTTGCTAGGGGATTGGCTATTGTGAACATTCTGTATTCACCTTTCTTATCTTCTATTGCTCCAAACCTGAAATCAATGTGCAATTAATAAATTAACTTTCTTTATGGTGTATCAAACATGATTTTATAATTATATTAGATTTGAACCATTCAAATATTTTCATTGACAATATATATATATATATATATATATATATATATATATATATATATATATAGTGTATAACAATATGTGTGTGATTTAGATTTAAATAAAGGTGTTTTTTTTATAATCTTTATTGCTTTCGAATTAAGCCGATATTAATATTTTGTAATGTAACTTCTTTTTGATTAAGAAAATAATTATTAAAAAGTGCAAAAACAGGTGGGGAATTTAGAGTAGTTGAAACACACGCCATTGGTCGGACTGAAGTTGACGTCAGAGTATATCACAACAGAGCGATAAGCCATTTTCTCGCTTACAAATTGAGTCGTAATTTCTCTATGTATATCATACTGTGATGTCACACAGTGACGTGTGCAGTGATTGCCCAGTGGCAACCCGATTCTTTCTTTTAATCGGTGATTAAAAGAAAGAATTAACGGGCAATTAAGCTTTAGTTTGGTTCCCTTACTTGCAACGTCGAAACAGGTACTTAGTGCCATTGGGTGGCTGGCAAGTGAGGCTGAGCTGTGGTGCGGCCTTCGCATTGGTTCCCCAGACTAGTGCCTGGCCATCTTTAGCTATGCTCACCAATTTACTATCGCACGGACTAAAGTCTAAGTCGTCCAGCTGAAATCAATTGTGTTTTATATTGTCAAAACAAGGTAAATTAAATTTGCTTTAAAAGGTCTACCTAAGTAATTAATATTTGTATTAATAAAAATATAACTGGATCAAAAGAATTTTACATCAACATTTAAAGATAGCTTTCAATATAAATATTCAATATTACCAGTTTACTTTGATTTATTTATTTAGTTATTTTGATAACCTATAACACCCAACATTCATAAAAAATATATAAGATATAATGACGTGAACTGCTATTTTGACGGTAAATGATGTCATATGTAAATGTTACATAAGGACAATTAATTAGGATTATTGAAGTAAAAATATCTTCCAAACGCAAGTCATTCCTACGATATCAAAATATATTTTCTTAAACAAGTATTTTTTTTGTATGTAGCATGTATATGTACAATCAATAAAAGTAGTTTTTGTTAGAACTATGGTACAGTGTCGCTTTCTATCTATAAAAAGTTTTTAGAACCCTCCAAACTAACCCATTAATTTTATTAATAGAATAAGTTAAGACAGAGCAATGATTGTAATATTCAAATAAATACCTCTTTTGTGTGTCCTTGTAATTCAAACAAAAGTTGCATTTTAGGAAATGACCATACTCTGACTTTACCGTCCACTCCACCAGTCGCCATCAGTTTTCCATTATGACTTATTATAACTACCCTTTGTAGTGGATCCTCACTGTAAAATATGAAACACATTAGTAATTAATAATCACTCACTAACGAATCCATACACTGTATAAAACATCTTCATTTTAAAATCTTTTAAGCACTTATTATCACAAACTAACCCGAAATCTGTTTGCACACTATCACATGGCCGTATTTCAAATGACATTCTTTTATCTGTAGTATAGTTATGGCTTTCCATCTTTGATATGTTATCATTCTCAGAGATAGTTCTACGACGACGTACAAGCCCATTTTCGGCTCTAAAGCTGCCGCGACGCATCTCTGCAGCATCTACCATCTTAACATTAACTTTGTACAGCTGGCAGTGGCTTTCCTGACCAGCTGCCAGGTATATCCGGTTCTGCGCATTTTGTACAGAACATGTCATCACAACATTAGGTCCAGTTTCGTACCTCATCACTTCTTCTGCAACAAATCGTGTTCCATTGTGTGATAACTCAAATATTTCCTGGAATTAAACGAAATGTAGTGAAAACTAAGAAAATTATGTTAATGAACCATGTAAACAAGAATATGGTTTGATAATAAAATTGCTGACGCGTATCGTAGTGTAACATAAAGCAAAATACGTAAACTCTGTTTCCCTTGATAAGTTACAGTCGATACTTACAAATCCATTCGCGACGCCTGTATTCGAAGCACCACCACCGCCTGCCACGAGAACATGACGACTCGTGAGAGTTTGTAATGTGTAAAGAGGAAAATCGACTTTCGCAAGTAAACCATCACATCTATTCCGAGACATCTTCACTTATACCATCTATTATAAGTTATTTAATTGTTGACTCAGATCGAATATCACTACCTATATGCTAAATATAACCACATCAGTCTTTTTTATACCGCTAAATAATAAATAATTAAAATAATATGTTTAGAACAAGGCTCTAACCAACTGCCTGGGAATTGGAATTTGACTACTTCCAACATGACAAAAGTCACTGTGACAGCTTTCAGTGTGAAAACTGAAAAGATTATTCCTGTGATAATACTTTAATATAAAAACAATTTATACTGAAATTTTACTAATTTCAGTATAAATTGAATTGTAAATAAATTTTGTGAACATATATATATAATTGTTATACGATAATATTTTTTTCAAGACAAGAATAAACTGTGAACATTTATATTGTCGCTCGTTTCATAACCAATGTTGCCGTAGTAAAATTTTGGCGGGTTTTTTAAATGTGTATGAAGGAAATTTGATGGTGTGTTTTTTGTATTAATACAGATTACAGAGGTAAAATTAATGAATAGGTACTGTTTTTACTTATTAATTAAGAGGTCAAATAAATAAATCTTTTTTTCTTTAAAATATTTTATTGTAGTAGCCAATTATATACTAAACAGAAAACACAAAAAATAATATCGCTCTGTTTGTGATTTATTGTTGTATTTAAAATGACAGTAAATGAATCACTAATAAAAGCAATAACAAAATTTTATTTGTAAAAAGTAAAATAAACTTAATCACACACAACCCATACATTACAATAAAAATTAATATACATCATGATTTTTTTTTCTAAAAAAAATTGACACTTAAAAAGAAATATGGAATTGAAAAAATCATTAAGAAACGTACACATGTAACCATAGAGTATATTGCTACATATATAAACATGTAACGTAAGAAGTAGGAATATATAAAGATATTTTTAAATCTTAATATCAATTTCCTTATAGAAAATCACTCAACCAAGATAAATAGACGTTACTAAGCATTAATTAAAAGTATAACTTCAAAAAGTACTACTTTGGCGTAGATAGCAAAGTACTTATTAGCGACATAGACGTTCCTATGGGCATGGCTTAGCTAAGTCATAAGTTTTAGCCAGATATTCCCTACATGATATTATAATCCCTCCGAATTTGTCAAATTAATGCCGTACGTACATAAATAAGACCTTGTTTTTATACCATTTATTAAAAGAATATTAAAGCTAATAATAAAATTAACTTATAATATTGTTCTCATTATTACGTGTTTTCATTTTTAATCTTTATACTTATTTGTGCTATCATTATTTATTGTTGTACCTAAAATGTTCCTGTAAATCGAACATTCATTTATAATGTTTATTTCACTTTAACATTGCTAAATTTCAAAATTACCGCTCATATTCATACGCGTCTTCCACACAATACGTGACACTGGCAGATTGAAATGTGCGTGTTAACGCAATTCCTTACAGAAGAGAATCATACAAGGAAGCACGTAAAAACCATTTACCGAATTCGAGATAACTCAAGAAGGACTAAACCGATTTTGATGATCTTTTATTTGTTGGATTTGTCTCCGCCCCTAATAACGGAATAACTATTAAAACATATGAAAAAATAAATAAAAAAATCTGGCTAATAACTATTCATACCTATTTAAAACGCAATGGGGACGCACCCGAGCAAAGCGAGGGTGAGTCGCTAGTAACTTATAATCCACAATCTATTATATTAGTAGCGATAATGACATTAAGTAGGTAAATTAAATAATTTTTTTTTAATAATTTAAAAACAATAATACGTTCTTAGAACGTGCTAAGTGCGAAAATATATAACTTTGGCTTAGCAAAGAAATAGGCCGTATGCTTAGGTAGGTTTTTAATCGAAAGTAAATGCGTCTGCGTAAAAAGTCTACGTGAACTGTGGTGCTTAGAACTTTCTTTGTCTCAGCCTTTGCTTAGTAACGATTATTTATCTGGACCTCAATAATTTTACAGGCTTGTATTTATTATTGAAGTGAAAACTTCTATAGGCAGGTTTGGATGGAGAATAAATTCATGTAAGTCGTCATCGACATGGTCACGTGACATGTCAACGCTAACACTCAGAGTGCCGATAGATGTCAAAAGCAGATAAATGTAAACAGTTTTAATTTACAAATCTTAATTTAAGATCAAACTATTAATTTGAATATCCAAAAATAACAACTGTTTGTTTATAGTTTTAAGTTTTCACTTTTGTCGGCAGTCCTCATGACTGCTTTTTTATTATAAATTACTTTTTAATACAACAATATTCCATATGGAATCGCACTCACAAAGTGCTTACAGTTATACCTTTACATCCATAACCTTTATATGGAAATACTAGAAAATTCTTGTAATAAAAACTAGCGAATCCCTCTTGCTTCTCTCAGACCTTTAACTGCACTCTGGGCTTATGACAACATTTTTACAATTTACTATTATTCCACGACTTTAAGTAAAACCGGAATAAAAAAAAAAAACATTTAACATTTTATAAATATAAAAAAGGGCACGGACAATAAGTCTGTAGATGTTTGTTTATTTAAAAAAAACCGACTAAGAACTAGTTCATGTTGCTAACGAATAATGTACTTCATAATGTTCTGAAGTTACCCTCTTACATGCAAACATACGTTTTACTTTATTTTAGTTCCTCCTTTGATGAGGACGAAAGAGAGAAATTAAAACTCTTCAAACAACCTCCAAAGACCACAATTTATTTGAAAGAAAGCACGGCCTCTCCATAGTGAACAAAAATATTCCATACAAATGGACCTTCATACTAAAACATATTTTATTTATGGACATTTATAAATTTATTTACTAGCTTGTAATGAGATCAAAATTAAAACCATGAAATTTAGAATTCAATACAACAGAGAATATGAGTGTGATTTAAATAAAGGTGAAAAATGTTTTTTTTTTATAATATTTATTGCTTTTGAAATAAGCCTATATTAATATTTTTAAGTCAACATTAAAATAATTTAGGAAGTAAGCGAGTAAAATGTCAAAACACAAACCTTTATTGTTGAAATTTCATTAAACAACCCATCTGCGATATATATTAACATATCACGTTAAACACAAAATATTTTTCATCCAACCAGATGCTGAGAGAGAATGGACTATGGCCTGATCCCCCTCGTATTGAAGGGAGGCCCGTGCCCAGCAGTGGGGCGTTAAATAAAGGCTGAATACACCAGATGAGTGAAAGACCACCCTAGTCCGGATCCTGTACTATAAATACAAATATTGAAATTAAAGTATTTAATAAGTGAATATAATAGATCGTATAAGACCATCCCGCACGGAGTCGCTGCTGTGGCCGATGCCGAAGTTGAAGAAGACGGACTCGGCCGCGACCTGCTGCGCGCACGTGCCCATCGGGTACCAGCCCACCTTGTTGAACACTATGCCCACTTTGTACACCTGTGGTGATCGATGAGAATGATGTAATTTAGCAGTTTCGACTTATTTAATAAATGAAAATCCAAATTTAAGGTATATATAAGGAAATGATACTTTTACATTTCAAAAATAACGTACATATTGACGACTTGTGGCTCAGTTTATAGTGCCAGATACTTGCTGTGCCAGATGTCGTGGGTTCGAGTCCCGCATGAGCATGAATGTTTGTACTCTAGTCATGGGTGTTTATATTTATTTATAATATGCATGTATTTGATGTTATACCGCTATTATATAACGTGTGGTTTCTCGATAACCAATCACAGCGCGAGGACCTTGGGCCCCCATCAGCTGCTGGCATACTCGATAAGCTATCTTTCTCGCACCTATGGCTGCGCATAAGACTTTTTTGTAGTACTCATTTGTAAACTTTCGTTATTCGTCTGGCGATTTGCAAGTATTATCGAAAATTACTCAATTAATACGTGATTAAAATTTCAGATTGCCAAAAGTATATTTTTGGGAATTTTAATAAAGTATCTTTGGAGAGGTCAGGCAATACTTTATAACCGACAAAAACGTCTAGGGTTCTTTTTTTGAATTATATGAAAACTAAATTAAAAGATTAAACAAAAATCAAGTTGCCAAAAATATGTTTCTTTTTTATATATTTTTTGCTAATGTTATATACTGCGCAGTAGCGAAATACACGCTGAAGCTACTAGACTCGCGAACTGGAATTGCCAATTCACGAAATTATATTTTTTCACAATTTCAACTTGCCAAAAGAACCTTCCCAAAATTCGTCGCGAGCTTACGGAATAGTTATTGTATATAGACACGTCTGTGTAATATCGAGCAGGTGGCAGTAAAACACTTTAGGCAGTGCGCGTAACTAAACCGCGGCTTACATACAGCAGTACAAACTTACTAGCATTATTTGTGTTGAGAAAGTTAAAAATGTGAATAGAGAGAGCATCGACCATAATTTTTTAAAAGACATGTGAAGTCCACCAACCCGCACTTGGCCAGTGTGGTTGCCCAGCGGTGGGACGTTAAAAAGGGTTGAATACAACCATAGCTCACCTTGTTCCTCTGTATGTACACGCGGCGGTTGAACATGATGTCGAGCAGGTGTCGGTAGGGCACGCGGTTGGTGTAGTGCGTGTAGGAGAGGCGCGCGCCGTCCGCGTCCAGCAGGTGCGCGTACAGCAGCTCGGAGTAGCCGCTGGCGCCGCCCGCGCCGCCCGCGGCCTCCTCGCTCGGCGCCTGCGTCGGCACCTGACACACAGACACTTGTTGTACTCACTGCCTCGGGGATCTAGTTTATACGAGGAGTTTTAGGGTTCGAGTCCCGGGTCGAACCAGGTTCATTCATTAAGTATTTCTGTCAAGAAATTCTTAATAGCAACTCGGAGTTGGGAAGTTGACGGTATGACCCCGCGCTTCGGAGAGCACGTAAAGCCGTTGGTCCTGCGTCCAAACTATCAACAGTCGTGTGGAAGTATCGTCCCATTGGACTTTGAAAGTGGAAGAAACATTGTGCACGCAGTACTGCACACTGCGCGTACCGACACACTCGCTGCACTATAGTGTCTCCTGCGCAGATGGCTAGTCTCAGTGAGATTGACCGCTGTAGTCGAAAACGTGAAGGACATTACTTGTTGTACTTTACACTAGACGGGTTTTTTCTCTATTTTAAAAACATAACTTTAGTTATTAGATTTATATATGAATACATTTTATCTACACACCTATAATGATAGGTGAAAAACATCTTTTCGGCTTTTTTAGGGTTAGGCAAAAAGATAAGGCAATTTATGCCGCATATTTTGCCACTCGCAAGAAAACCTATAGGGCCAAAAAAACCATATCACGAAAAAAAAATGGCGAATTATTATAAGCTTATTTTAATGTTCATATGACTTTTTTTTTAAAAACGTGTATTCCATGCCAATAGAATTGATATATAATAGTCAATCATTCTGTAAAAAAACTTTAAAGGCGTTTGAAAATTAAGCTATTAGGTAGGCACTGCATATTTACGTAATAAATACATTTTTATAAAATCCGCACGATTCGAATAAGCGCCATCTATCGTATACAAGGCTAAAGAAAACCAAAGAATAGTCCAAGTTAGGACCGTCAGTTAAGTGTAAGACTGACCTGAACTCCCAGAACGTATATGTTCTTATCCACCATGAAGGTGACGGAGCAGTCCAGCGCGCTGGTGTTGAGACAGTCGGTGTGCTGCAGCAGCGCGCGCTGGCAGTAGATCTTGTGCGAGTGCGCGTGGTGCAGCTCCATGTGCTCCATCACGCCGGGGCCCATCACACCCATGGCCCCCATGCCCCCCATGCCGCCCATCCCCGCTGCACCTGCTCAGGAAATGTTTTATTTATTAGAGCTTTGCAAGCTTATATTAAATCCATACTAATGTTATAAATGCGAAATTAATTTCAACTTTGTTATCTTTTCACGCTTAATCCGCTGAAGGAATTTAAATGAAATTTGCTATGCAGGTAGTTTGGGACCCTGGAAATGACATATTTATCCTGAAAATCATCCGATCCGATAATGCGAATATTCGGATCTCATCAAACCCTTTCATTTGATATCCATATCATGGGGGCGCATAAAAAACGTAGTCCACGATCTTTGGGAGTCCGCCATATTGGATTTACAATGACATTACTTTGCTTATTGACTATTGTATTTCACTCAACAAACCCTTTCATTTGATGCCCATGTCATAAGGATCACTATGGAAATGAGAAATCGTCATTTTGTAACATCCGCAATCGGATTAAAAATGACAGAATTTACGTAATCGTACATTGTCACAATGTCACAAGAACCAAACGTGTGTACTGTGTGCCAAATTTCAGCTCAATCGAACAATGGGAATTGGATGAAATTTAACTTGCAAGATTTGATTACAGAAAGACACCGGGACAGGTGAAACTAAATAAAAGCTTGTAATAATTTTTATTTTTATCGATATAAAACGTGTTGTATATATAGAAATATCGGAATAAAAATCTTGAATATAGACATCACTTCACACTATACTAAAGGGAGATTTAACGACTAACTTCATACTGTACTGTAAATCTGTAGCATCGTAAAAAATTCACTATCATCATTTTTTTCCTAACGCATCAAAAGAAAAAAAAACTTCAAAAAATAAAAAAAGACAATGATAAAATCATATAAAAATTGAGCTTAACCACTTGAACCTCGCTGGTGCCTACAGGCACCACTTCCGGCGTTACCGTCAAACCCCGCTGGTGCCTATAGGCACCACCTCGCTCGCTGCACTTTTATCACTTATTACACGACGAAATTTGTTTATTTTATGCTCAATGAGTGATACACGCAAACTTTACAAGTTTTATTAAATATATAATAAAATAAAATTTTAATTATTTGACACTCTCTTTCTACGATATACAATTTGACTTTATTTGTTTTTTTTATTGAATTTATTTGTTTGTTTGTTTGTCCTCCTTTCACGTCGAAATAAAATGCCAGATTTCGTGATTTTTGTGTCAAGGCTGGAGAGTGAAATAGGCTACTTTTTACTCGTTTTTACGGGAAAACAAGTTATATATATTCCACGCCGGAACGAAGCGAGGGTGAGTCGCTAGTCTGAAATAAAATAAGCGTTCCTTGACTGTCTCGTCGGACTAATAATAACGTAAAAAGCTATAGAAGTAGTGTATATTATTGAGTTGTTCTGCTGAGAAATACTCAGTAATAATAGTTTAAGAAAGTGTGTACCATTTGAGAGGTTTCAAATATTGTACTTATAGTGTTTTTCACATTGTTCAACACTAGAAGAAACTAAAACTATTAGAGCTATATTATTAAAATTCTCTTTTTTAAATTATTATTTTAAAAATAAAAAGATAGGGGCATATAAAACTACATGAACCTAATGAAACATATTAAATTGAGATATATATTTGTCTCTTTATATACTTTTAACGTTAATTATTATTTGAAGAATATATGTGAGTGGTTTTTGTGTTATGGTGTCTTTTCAGCTACGGGTATTTGTTACATACAAAAATTGTCACTTATTTGTCATAGAAATACAATAAAATACAAATCAAGTTATACTACTCATGAAAAGAGTATTGTAGATGAATAAACAATATATAAAGTTATTTTTTTTCGTAATACATATATTGCATAATGTATTAAAATACATAAATTATTTTTTTTCACGCTACGAGAGCTAGCTAGCTTGCGTGCCAAAACTTGAAATCTTGCATTTATTAGATTTTTTATAATAATTTTATTCATGTCATATTTTTATAAAAATCGCACTTTATTTAATGATTTTGAATCTAATTTGTCCAAAAAAATACATTTACAATTATTGCATCTATTTGGATTTTTTAAATACTTAGTTTTTTATTGTTATGAACGAATATAAATTTTTTTATTGTGTTTATGTGTTTAGCCGTTCACAAAAATAATCGATAGTTTTTACACATTTACTTTACATTTACATGGGTGATTGGCTGCATCACTACGCATCTAAATATTATTAGTAAATTATTTTAGTCAAATTCACATGTTTAAATGTTTAGTTTTTTGAATGAAAAGTGTTAAGTTTTCATATATGTGATAATGCTTAGCTTGTTCTTTTACAATTTAAGCTAAATTTATATACAGAAACGTTAATTACAGTGCAACACGAGCGTCTGTAAAAAATAACCTCAATTTTTCTCTCTTATAAGAAATCCATGACAATTTTAATTACAGTGGCTTATTTTCAAGATTCATTGGTGCATGTTTTTAAAGTAAGGACTATTCTGTATTTTAGTATTATTTTTATTAAGAATCCACACATTTTATCTCGGATGTTTGTTTTGAAAATTGCGCGATGAGCTGCGCAAATACAATGAACGAGCCGCGAGTGCTATAAACTCAGACCAATAAAAAAGTATAGACGGAGCCGTTGTACACAAACGCGAAAAAGTGAGGCAAAGTTATGGCTTTGTGTGCGTAACTCGGTGTAAGATAGCGTAGATTTGCGCATGTGTGCTAGAGAAAAATGTTGCAAGCGTTGTGCTTACGACTCCCAAGTGCGAGAGATATACTTTGGTGAAAAGTTTTATTAGAAGTAGTATAGTTTTTATTTGCCTTGGTTACATGAAATGAAAGGTAAATTAGTTTAATGAGTATTTATTCTTATATAAAATAATTTTAAAAATAGGTACACCCAAAACTTACATATATTAGAATAATTATAAATAATTTGATGCGTTTTCCTTTTTAAGGCCTTTAACATTCTGATTAAGTGTTTTGATTTTGCGTTCATGAATTTGATAACGTAATTTATACTTTCTAGCTTGTTGTCTGAGTTTATTTCTTTTGGGAGTGTCAAATATTGATTCTAGTTCGGAATCACGGTTTAGACGTTTAATAATATACCCAATATACTCAAAAACTAAAATACAATAATAAGATTTAAAAAAAATAAGTTGTAACGTGTACAAAAATCACAACTTCCCTTACTTTTGGGAAAACATAATGTTCTTAACTTGCAACATTGACACAATGGCGTCAAGAATTCGTGTTCGGAGAATTAGGTTAAATATTTTTGCGATTTTGTTTAAATAATACAGAAAATCAGTTACTTACTTGTGAAAAGTTATCCCAGAAGACTTTTTTCGAAAACATGAATTGTTTTTGCAGCAGTGTGACACAGGACGGCTTAATTTCGCAATTATTATTTTACCAAAAGAACGTCACGCGCTCTCACTCGCTCGCGGCCGACTACCGAGAGGCCGTCTTAATATGGCTGAACCGTCTTCATATTACTTGCCTCACTTTTTGTGCGCAATGCTCTGTCTATACTTTTTTATTGCTCTGAGGCTATAAAGTTTTGAATTTGGTTGTTAGTTACAACTTATATAAATAAATCAAAGAATGGTTTTGTGCGATTACATGTATATTCATAAAATAGTGTTTCAAATTTAGTGTAAATATAGACCGTGGTATTGTCAGAAATCAATATAATACAACAACTAGTAAATATTTAGCTAACACTCATATATTGTTAGCTTATTTATAATTCATCAATAGTTAAAAGTGTATTTTACATATTGTCATAAATGCTCAGATTATTTAAAAATCCAAAACAAATGGTTGTATAGGGGAAAAATGACGCGCGGGCTCGGTGTTTAACGGGTGTTGCTTGTCAAAAAACGCGAGGTTCTAGTGGTTAAACATGTATAATTAAATAAACAGGCTGCATACCTATGTGCGCCTATTCATAATCGCGACTCGCCCTCGCTTCGCTCGGGTTCGTCCCTAGGTGTGTTAACGGTTAGTATGAAATACAAATCTTTAAATTTCTCGACTTTTCTGTACTATAATATGCAAGTATTATACATATAAATCTTCCTCTTGAATCACTCTATCTATTAATAAAAACCGCATCAAAATCCGTTGCGTAGTTTTAAAGATGAAAGCATACATATGGACAGACAGACAGCGGGAAGCGATTTTGTTTTATACTATGTAGTGATGTCTCCGATTGCATAATACTATGTTCTATTTTACGCATTATTCCAGGCGCGAATCCTTTCGGCCCACAAGGCCGTAGGCAATGGCCAACGTAGCTTATGCCTTACGCCACTTCTAGTGGTACCTTCCTGGCGAGTGGGGCGCGGGTAGGTGATGCAGGGCTGCGGCGGGCGCGACAGCTCCGGCGTGCACCACACCTGCTCCACCATCACCGGGCTCGGCGTGTCCACCGTGAACGTTGGCATCTGCGGACAAACATCACATTAGTTTTCACATTTCCGGAACCTTATTAAAAACACTGCTTTTTACGACATTGCTTATTACGACATAACTCTTTAAGCGACTATATTTAACTAATATATTCGGCGAATTATATCTGTTAGAACGACCAGCTGCATTGTAAGCAATTTGAATAGGTAACAGTATCCACATCTGGCCCTCGGGGGCTCAGCATAATGGTCAATGGCTATTAAGATCGCAAAAGTAAACAAAAACTTGTCGAGTTTAGGGTCTTTTGTAATTCTTAGAAACAAAATACACGTGCATGCAGTATAATCAAAACCCGCTTCTTCATATCTCTTCAGTCCGTTTCTTACTTATCTGTACACAAGACGCACCAAATCATACAGTCGAGTTATTTGTGAAACTTTTAACATGTCGCAAAGAAAAAGAAAACAAATTATATCGAGGAATAATTGCATATTATATCAAAGCTAGAGAGCGGAATTCCAAACAAAGACTTGGCAAAAGAATATGGTGTAACACACTCGACAATGTCAAATGTGGAAAGAGAGGGAAAAAATTCAAACCCTTTATGACAGCATTTTTTTGAAAATGAAACAAGCCAGAACAACGAAGCATACGAAGATTGAGGAAGCTTTGTTACAGTGGTTTAAATATCAAAGGACAAATAATGTGCGAATAAATGCACCAATTATTCAACAAAAGCAAACGATTTTGCTCAGCGTTTTGGTGAAGATTTCGTTTACTCACTCTCTCTCTCTCTCTCTATATATACACATTCAATAATACCACTTCATAAAAAAATACTTTGTACCTAAAAAGCATCACCGGCTGCTACGACTATCGGTTTGTACGACCAAATATGAGTGGTCCCTTCGATGTCGTTTTAACAGATTTTGACTGTATTTTAAATACAAAATTTAAATCAAAATTCAGATTTACTTACATGACAAGAAGGCCCGCCACCAATCAACTGTTTTCTTGGAACTCGGGATGATGAAAATCCATTCGGCATGGGTACATCTGTGGTTTCTGACAAAATATTCATAAGTACTGCAAAAGCCTCAGATTCGCTTAGCAAGGAAGACCTGGCTGGGCCCCCTGCAAACTGCTGAGGAGAAAGAGTCAGGAACCTGATCTTCTCTACTGCACTCCTGATTGATACTTTCTCTTTGTGTTCTGAAATAAGATTATCTTATATTAATAATATTAATTATTTATCTACGAATCAAGATTTAAAGTAATAACTTTAAAAATAACCAGCAACAGTCTTTTTTTATATAACTACTTTAAAAAAATTATGCTCTGTAGTTATGATTGAAATAATTTACGTACATGAAATATTGCTACTTTATTTTTGGCTTGTACCAATGTACAAACCAAAACAACTTTGTATCCTTAATTAATATGAAATCATCATATGTTATACCTGTCTTAGGTTTTTTATTGTGCTCCACCGGAGGGCCAGCTGTATCTGTATCATTACGGCAGGTATCCATCACCGTTTCTGGGCTACTCTCTGCACTACTGTCTACATTTACCACCTGAATATGTTAAATAAATTATTTTATAAAATAATTACATTGTTAGCAAATTTGAAAAAAAATCCATGTTATTATTTTCAAGAGAGTCAGTGTATACTGTATAGCAATGTCTCTCTTATTGCCTTTCTATCTCCATCATCTTACTATAACCATCTTCTAAACTTATAAACAGAAAGTTATAACTTAAATAAAAGTTAATAAAACTTAATAAAAGTTTAATAAAGATTTAATAAAGTTTTCACCATTTGTAACACAATGAGAGATTTTGCAACTATACAGTATGCAAAATTTCTTTTTCATTATAATAAGAAATTACCTGTTCTTTTTCTTGTGATGTAGAAGGCACCGGGCTCTTTTGTCTGTTTTCAGAAGATGGCGCCCCTTCAGTGGGTGGGCTTACGCTTCTCTCAGTCCTTTTCTCTAAAGCTTTTGCATATCTAAAAATATTTCACATATAAGGGGCATTTTTTGTGTCATATATTATTAATTTTGTCACGATTTTACTGATTAAAATATATTGTCACTATTTTCACTAATAATTATTACATAATGTACCATATCCATAAGGCAAGCTTTTCAGAGTTTTTTTTTTCATATAAAGGTTCTAAGTATCAATAAGATAAATTATTATAATTTATACTTACCTAACAGCTGCTTCAAATAAATCTAATTCACTGTCAACATTAAGATGGTCCAATGAGAAAACAGTTATCACGGTATTCAATTCAACTTCCTCAAAACTACTATCATTTAACACTTCTTTGGTATTTGTGCTTATTATCTGTAAGTTGCAATTATTTTTTAGTTGTTATTAAATATTATAATATAAAAATATTAGACACAAAACATGAATGAAGCATTTCGTAGAAATTATAGAAGATCACATTAATATGTATTATGAATTCAATGTGAGTTAAGAGCATGCGTGTGCTTAACATTGTTAGCTTTTTATATAATAAATATGTACATATTAACAATGCAAGCAGAGCTACAGATGAAAATGAGTTACTACATTAAACTTTTAAATTGTTTTATGATAGATCCTGTCAATATAACATCACAGTTTTATATTTATTCTCATAAAGCTAAAATGAATTTAGTACCTGAATGCATTTCTCCATAAGAACATTCTCTTCAAAAAGTCGGGCAAACTCATAAGCTCTGCAAGCATTTCTGGGGTAAAGATCAGACCAGAGATACCTGGTGCATTCTTTTACTAGATGTGGCAGCATATATTTCTTGGCACCATAGCACAACTCACAAGCTTTATCAAAGGAACTTATATTTATATTGCCTGTATAAATATACCTGAAACATAAGATTGTAATTCAAGACCTTATAGATTAAATAAAAATTTGTACTGGATTAATGTAACTTACTCTAACAATGCTTTAAAAGCGTCTATCTGGACATCAACTATTGGTATTGGTTCATTTCGTTCTGCCATACCACCATAAAACATAGCTTCAAAAACAGGAGAAGCCATAGCTAAAATCAGTTTGTGACCCACTAGAACTACTTGATTGGGCTCAGTGCCCACTAAAAAGGTGCAATCAGACCATTGCCCAGTTTGCAATAAATAAGCTCCCCGTTGTTTTAATTCCGTACACTCTAATTGCCAATCAGTTGGTGCAGCTCCCATGGTTGTGTTTTACTAACTGACTTATATGTATATAAAAATATTAAAGTGAAATACAATAATATTATGTACAGCCTTCCAGACTCCCAGAGATATTTATATTTTTATTATATGTAGCAATATACTCTATGATTTTTATCAATTAATTTGACATTGACAACGACAAAATGACAGACCAATCTTGTTGTTCTTGGTCTATGCCATATGCATATTATGCACCAATGTTCTTGGTATTATCATTTGACTATCGTTACGTCTTGGTAGTCGGTACCTATAAACTTTAAGTCAAAAAGAAAATGATGTGTTTATATGATTACTTTTAATATGTGTAGTAATTAAGTGATATATATATATATATATATATATATATATATATATATATATATATATATATATATATATATATATATATAATTACAATCTCTATTCATAATATTCTTAGAAGTATAAACATTTTGTAAATATTAACAATACCAAAATAATCCAACTCCATAATCTAAATTATTAAAAAAATCTTATAACAAATGGATATTTAATAAATTTAATAATTTATATTTACTATATAGACGTTTATATAATATGATACATGTATGGTGCATAGACTTTTTCTGGTTACTAAACGTATATTGATTAAGTTTTGTTACGAATGTCAAAGTTGTCAATATTCGTGTTCAGATGCTGGAGTTATGTCAGAAATTAAAATAATCTTATTAATTTTTCACCAAAGCTAATTTTGGTTAAAAATGAATCACGAAGAGATAAAATCCGTCGTTCAGGAAAAATTTTTATCTAGTGAACGAGTGACAGCATTCCTTTGTGATGCTAAAGTGCTCCACCCAGAATGGGTAAAGAAGGATAGACTTTTAGCGATTGTGGAATATGGAGATGAGAAAGCCGTCTTTTGTTTATTTACGTCATGTTACCCACCGAAATCCTTCACCGATTTATCTATAGAAATAGTGCTGCCTATCGACAGTACCTTTAAATGTGAAATTGACAACAAACCATCTGATCCAGAAGCAATACTGTACCTGAATTTACAATCACGTAACAATAAGTTTAAGTTTGAAATTCAAATGACTCCTCGTGTAGACAATTTTGTAGATGACTTGTTTCGGGGCATAGAAGCAGTTAACAAACTACAAGAGCAACCAGAATTTGTTTGGCTGAAGAAATACAGTGGTAAAAATGATGATGATATTATAGCTCAAAGCATGGTGCTTCCCAGAGGTGTAATAAACACGCAAACTGCTCCAGTGGCTATAAGAGAAAGTTTAATAAAACATAAGATGTGTGATAAAGAATTTGATTATACATTTACAAAAAAGTTTACAATTTTTTGTGGCACATGGAATGTAAATGATAAATCCCCAGTGATACCTCTTAAAGACTGGTTATGTGTGGATAAAGAGCCTCCTGATATTTATGCTGTTGGATTTCAGGAACTTGATTTGTCTAAAGAAACTTTTCTGTTTGACCAAACATTTAGAGAAGATGAATGGTACAATGCAGTATTAAACTATGTAGACAGACGGGCGAAATATGTAAAATTGGAGAAAGTAAGACTTGTTGGTATGCTACTTATTGTTCTTATTAAGGAAAAACATTACTCACATGTCCGTAACATAGTATGTGACACTGTGGGTACAGGAATCATGGGCAAGATGGGGAATAAGGGTGGAGTATCTATAAGATTTGACTTACATAACACCTCTATTTGTTTTGTTAATTCCCACTTAGCTGCTCATGTTGAAGAATATGAAAGGCGCAACCAGGACTTTAGAGATATTTGTAATAGAACAAGGTTTGTGCAACCAAATCAACAGCCGAAAGCTATTAAAGATCATGATCATATCTACTGGATTGGAGACCTCAATTACCGCATTACAGAGTTGGATCCCCAGAGTGTAAAGAAATTAGTCAACGAAAACAATTTTGCACCAGTCTTAGAATGGGATCAATTGAAACAGCAACATAAAAACAACAATGTTTTTGCAGGTTACATTGAAGGTGTCATTAATTTTAAACCCACATACAAATATGATGCTGGTACTGACAATTGGGACTCCAGTGAGAAACACCGTGCACCAGCATGGTGTGATCGAATATTCTGGAGAGGACAAAATATCATGCAATTAGCATATAGAAGTCACCCATCTCTTAATATAAGTGACCATAAACCTGTTTCTGCTGTGTTTGTTTCAGAAATCAAAATTATTGATGAAGAAAAATACAGAAAGGTTTATGAAGAAGTGATTAAACAATTAGATAAGCTTGAAAATGAACTGATACCACAAGTAAAAGTTGATGTAACTGAAATAGACTTTGGTACAGTCAGGTACTTAGAATTACAAGTGAGAACAATTACTATCAAGAATACAGGTAAATTACCAGTAGAATTTGAATTTATAAAGAAATTAGATGAAGCAAACTTTTGCAAAGAATGGCTTATTGTAGAGCCATACAAAAAATGTATTTGTGCAGACGAGTCATGTGAAATTCAGCTTAAAGTACTTATTAACAAGACTTCAGCATGCAAAATGAATGCTGGTACTGATAAGTTGTATGATATTTTAGTTCTTCACTTATACGGTGGTAAGGATATTTTCATTACAGTTAATGGAACATACCAAAGAAGCTGTTTTGGTTGCTCTATAGAAGTATTAGTAAACTTAAACATGCCTATAAGAGAAGTACCCGTGGGAAAACTTATAGAACTTGAAAATAAAAGAGATCAATGTGTTTCTAACCAATCAACATATTCTATACCAAAGGAAATATGGTTTTTAGTGGATCATATCTATCTCCATGGCCTGAAAGAACCAAATCTTTTTGAACAGCCTGGTCTTCATTCTGAAGTGTTGCAAATAAGGGATTGGTTAGACACTGGTTCTATTGATCCTATCCCCGGAAGTATACATTCAGTGGCTGAAGCACTTCTATTGTTACTTGAGAGTACATCGGACCCAATTATACCATACAACCTTCAGTCTGTATGTCTTAGAGCATCTGCCAACTACTTGCAATGCAAACAGATAGTGATGGAATTGCCAGAGTTCAGAAAGAATGTTTTTCTCTATTTATGTGAATTTTTACAAGAAGCATTGCAACACTGTGCAGAAAACGGCCTGGATGCTAAGACTTTATCTACGCTTTTTGGTGCAATATTTTTAAGAGATAATCCTAACATTATTCAGGAACCGCAATCACGAATAAACAAACAAGTTATCGATAAAAAGAAAGCCCAGTTTGTATATCATTTTCTGATAAATGACCACAGTGACTTAATGTTTTCGAGATAGTTATATTGTAAATATTATTAGATTATTTAATTTAAATAATACTCAAACATTCTCCATTTATAATTTTTATAGGTACTAATTTATTTCAAAATATTAAATTATTTAATTTGACAAATCTAAACATTATTTCTAAGGTAGAGGTGAGCTTAATGTAAGACATCATAAATAACAAGTATTCGATCAGTCACAATTTTGGAAGCCATATTTATATAATCTACTTTTATGTTATTGTTGGATAAATATCAATAATGCAATTGTCCCTATAATTTAATTAAATTTATAATCGATTATGAAAGCAATAAAAGCCATAAAAAGTTTAGAATAGATAACGAAGACATATTATTTTTATTTATAGACAACGATTAGGTATTGTCGCTCACCTCTTTAAAGTATGAGGTAATCCTTCTTATATAAGTGGCATTACTAATAAATATTGAAGTTGTGTTGATTAATTAATAAAGAAGTTTGTAGTGAATAGTATCACAACTGCTACAGATTTAGTTTTAAATAGCAATTAAAATAATTTTAAAAATCACATAGTCTTTTTAGAATTTAGTATTATAAAATCTTAAAAGAGCAAGGGTTATTTCATGCACATTATATTATATATATATATATATATATATATATATATATATTTTATAATAATAACATAAATGTTGTTATTTTATGCTACATCAATTTTTTAGATGTAACAATGTCATTAATTTATTAATTTATGTTTTTTAATGTATCAACGAATATTCTACCAAGTGGCCAACAAATAGATTAAAATTTTCTTTTGTAACTTTACAATGCATATTTTTGTAGATAGGATTATATTTATATGAATTGACTTAACAATGCTATGTAATCATACTAATATTATAAATGTGAAAGTTTGTGAGTATGGATGTTTGTTACTCTTTCACGCCAGAACGGCCAGAAACGGATCTGGATGGAATTTAGCACATAGGTTACTTTTTATCCCGGAAAAATGTACGGTTCCCGTGGGATAGATTTGTTTTTGTCTAAGAACGAACCCGAAGCGAAGCAAGGGTGAGTCGCTAGACGCTAGTTACGAATAAACTTTCACCAAAAGAATATTCTTTTAGTCATAAAGTATAATAATGAAATATGAAAAGGGTTGTTTTGAGGTGATTGTTAGCTTTAATTAAAATTTAAAAACGCTTTTAATTATATATACTACTTATGTTTATTAAAAAAAAACACATTATACTTCAGACAGACTGACTACAGTGTATTTGTTAAAGAAATTGTTTAATCTCATCTTAAATACAAATACAAAAGCTAACCAATCTCATTTTAACCTTCTGTAATTAGGAGCATTACAATTATAATGCCAAGTCTATACATTATATATAAATATTATATATGTACTAGTTTGTGAGATTAGATTATTGACATATTAATTATCTAAGTTTGTGAATATGTATAGATGTTTGTTACACTTTTACGCCAGAACGGCTGAACGAATCTGGATGAAATTTCACATTTAACACTTAGGCTACTTTTATCCCGGAAAAATATACGATTCCCGAGGGATATATTTGTTTTTGTTTTATAATATTTTTTTTACATAAACGTTTATTGTGCTTGTAGCAAAAGAAAAAAACCTCTCATAAAAGCATAGGATTATAATATGTATGGTAAAGTTAGCACTAAGCTAAAAACTATAATCTTAGTACAATTGAAATATTTTAATGAATGTATGCAAATTTAGAAAATAAATAGTGAGATGTTAACATGGTGTGATAGATGAACAGGTAAAAACTTTTTTTTATCGATATTATAATAATTCTTAATCAATGAAATGAACAGAGAACTGTTTCGCATATTATCTTGTGTAACATTCCAATAAATTAAAATATTTAGTCCCTAAAATCGGGGAAGCTTGACATTTATTGTTATTTGAAAACCTAGTATATAAAATTACTTATACTTAACTCCAAAGTGTAAGTTATATAATAATATGATAAATGTAGTATGTTGGTATGCAATGTGAATTTGTATTAAAAAGAAATTAATACAAATATGCCCCAACATTTTGTACTATCATCACAGATTATTGTAACTGATTATACAAAAATGTGTTATTAATTTATTAAACAACGATTTACTTAAGAGCTTTTACTTATTCCAAATAACCTGTGTAATTAAAGAATGTAGATATAAAGAACAAAAAAAATTGTGTGTCTCTTAGGCGTAGTGGTGCCAAGCCTGACGTATTGTGCTGAATATCGTAAGTTCGATTTAAAATTTTTAGGAAGTTAAAGTTGGGTGGAGGTGAAATTACTATTCAGCCTATTCACCTAACGACGAGACAATGTCGTGATTATTCCAACCGCACAACTATCATAAAGGCGAAAGTTAGTATGTGTGTTCTATGTTAATTACTTCTTCACGTTGTAACGGCTGCTGGACAAACCTGGGTTTAACTGGTAACATTACAGTTACAAATAAAATTTGACAAAATGTGGCACTTGAAATTTATTAGGTATCCACACAAAAAGTACCTAAGGACGTACCCGAAACATGAGCGAAGTGAGAGTAAGTCACGAGTATCAAGTATGTTACGACCTCGTACGTTGAGTGTTAATATTTATCAAAAATATTAAATAAAATTAAAAACTTAGATATAAAAATACACAAATATCATTTATTTGTGTATTTATTATATTTATATTATCATGTTAATTTATAACAGATAGATTAATATTATTTATCAGTATCTAGGCTCTGGCTGTTGAATAAAAAACCTTTAAGTTTAAACCTCTATTGTATTTAATCATTTTAATCCATTTATATGTTTTGCACAAAGGCAACTAGATGGCGTTCTTTTTGTTATTACTTGTCATCCATGGTTATTACTATCATTATCTTTTATTTAAAACCTAACAATAACGCGTACATATTTGAAATTTACAAATTTAATAATGTTTTTTTAAAGAAATATATGTTCTTCAAAAATAAAATATTTTTTTAGATCACCGGTCGATGTTGAAAAAAGAAGCAGATTTGACTTCAACCAATAGCGGGCGCGCTAGAGCCGTTATGTCAATCGGTGTCACTGAAGTTCAATCGTATTTACAAAAACATTGTTTCCAGTTCCAACGATCTAGGTTCTTTAATACTTTATATCCTGTATACTTCAATTTAAATTTAATTTGTAACTGTTTCAACGGTGTTTTTGCGAAAGTTAAAAAGTACACGCGGCTTCAAAACTCGATATATATCGCGAAGCATTTGTGTTAAGCGGACGCATTGCATCCAGCATCCCTGCATTTTGTTTTCCTTTGTTTGGGTTTTCGCTATTTTACAAAGAAATGGAAGTTGAAGCTAAATGTGAGTAGTTTTATTTTTTATTTCAAGTGTTATATTTTTATTTTGGATTGAATTTTTTTTAATATGTATTTCACCTTGTTATTCACGTTTAAAAAAAATACAAATTATAATTTATAAAATAACCAGTAATATTATTTCGTGTTTATCAGTAAATAAAATAATTACAAAGAAGCCACTACTAACCTATAATCAGAAATTTTTCAAACTTTCAACGTAATGAAGGATTTTTAAATTTCTTAAAATATTTCTTCTTCCTTCTAATAAATATAATTTTTGATTTATTTCTAATTATATCTTTGTAATATAATTATTTTATCTGATAACATATTAAAACCGGTTTTTAGTGGGCAGGATGCGCAATCGCATCTATCTTTTACTTTTTTATTATCGTACATACTACCTACATAGGTATCTACTTTGCTGAGCAAAGTTTGCTCTTATCAGTTATAATATTATTTCTTTCCGCTAAGTTTTATTTTTTGGTAGGGGATTGAATTGAAATATCTTTTTCCATTTTTGTAGTCTTTATATCAATTTAATAAAAAAAAACCGATAATTATCCGGTCTGGTGCATTTTCTTATTTTTGAATTAGTAAGTAGTAACATCAATAATGTTCAGTGATGGAAGAAATTAAATAATACTTAGTAAGTACATAATTATAAAAATGTTGCGTTAATATAAAATAAAAAATTGAGTTATTGAATGTGGAATTTCAATGAATTAAGTAAATATCGCATTATCGGTGGTTTTTAGATTATCTATTCTAAAGTTCCTATATATTATGTTTTCAACATTTTAGTCAATTTTTACCAGAATCATAGTAAAATATACATTGTGCAGATAGTTACTTATATCTATAACCAGGTCAAGCACATTTCAATTACGTATTTGGTATATAAATATAAATAAAAAAGTTTTTTGCGAAACTAAATTCGATTCCTACCCGCATTTGACCAGCGTGGTGGACTATAGCCTGATCCATTTCGTATTGATGGTAGACCCACCCCCAGCAGTGGGACGTTAAAAAGGACTGAATACATATACTTTTCTACTTTAAACGTCTTATGCCCGATTTCACCAACGTCACCTAAGTTTAAGGGATCCCCTAAGCATGGTTAGGGGGCTGTTATGGGACAGTTTCTGTTTCACCAACAGTTAGGACAACATAATGAGTTCTTGTTGTTATACCTACTCCTCTAGTACCCGACCCATTTAAAGGTCAAAAATTATCAATTAAAAGGTCATATCCTTCTAGAATAATCAATTATTTTACCGATTTAAAAATAGCCTATGAGTGTATCTTCGGCTGACAAACTACAGAAAACGTACCATCGATCTGTTGGTTTGTTGCCGCGTAAAAGAAAAACAAAAGAGCAAACTATCATATTTATTTGACCTTCTTTTATTTACCGACTTCAAAGAGAAAAAGAGAAGTAAGAACACTTTTCGACGGTATTTTCTTTGTATGATATCTTCTAAACCACTCCAAAACTTTGTATGATTACTTTTAAATGGGCAGTAAGTAGGCAATAGTTGTTAAGAATTATCGGGCATATTTTTGCCCACTAAATTATAATAATGTTTAGAAAAACTTCAAAATGATTCTTCATAAGTTTTTTTTTCTGTAGAATATTAAAACTTATAGTAATTG